TATTGAGTGCATAACTGAACATAATTATTTGAAGGTTGACTTTAAAAAAAAATTAAAAACACTTCTTTTATTGGTCGGATGAAATATGCTAATTTTTTGAGACAGGAATTTTGGGTTTTCATGAGCTGTATGCCAAAATCATCAGTATTAAAACAATAAAAGACCTGAAATATTTCAGTTGGTGTGCAATGAATCTAAAATATATGAAAGTTTAATTTTTATCATTACATTATGGAAAATAATGAGCTTTATCACAATATGCAAATTTTTTGAGAAGGACCTGTATACTTGCAAATATGGCATTTCTAAATTTGCATTGGTAAGCGAAAACCTTTGCTTTCATGCTAAGCTGCATCTACACCACTAGGTGTCGTGTTGGTATAATTAAAAATATGCGATTAACTTCTGAAATTTTAATAATTAAACACATTATATGCACTTATACATTTTCCTCAAAAATATTTTTATTTAAACTTATGTGACCATACCAAAGTGATATTATTATCATAATATGGTCTTATTCCTTCATCAGTGCCTTACAGCAAAAAAGTTTTGTTGAAGCAGATATTTTTTATACATAAAAAAAAGAAAAAAAAAGACATGGATAAATGAACATCTGGGATGTTTTTTTCTTCTTCCATGTGAGAGAAACCAATATTTTACAGAAGCATTAAAGCGTTCATAAAAATGAACCCTGGCTTGACATTGTTCATAATACACATCCAAAAACAAAAACAGCAAATTCAATAATAACTCAGCATAAAAAAATAATCAGAGGGGCTGTTGGAAAAATGACCTGCAGCTTTACTGCACTAACAGGAGCTTTTGCCTGAAGCTACACGCTAACCATGTGTGCATGGGGCAAGAATTCAATAAGCAGAAGACATTATTGTTATAAACTGTCAGCCAAATAGCTTACATGGTTCTGGGCACCTGGCGGCTTAAATTTAAAAGTGAGTGCATAGAGAAATAATGAACCAAAAACAATAAAAATACAATATAAAATACATCATTTTGTGTAATGGACTTCAAAGATGTATCATTATGCAACAATATCTCTTTCATTCATACTTTCGGCATATTAATGTTGGCATTAATGAAAGTTTTTAGTCCCGATTCTTGAGATGTACAGCCAAAACATTATGGCCACTGGGTAGATTGAATGGTAAGTGACCAATAATATTCTTGTAGAAAACGTGTTGGATGCATGCAGGAGAAATGGGCCAGAATGAAGACCTATGCAACTTTGACCAAACCAGGGCCAAATGTTTATGGTCAGACTTCAGAGTTTCCCTGAAACGGCAAGGCTCCCGGTCAGCAGTGGTAAGAATTTACCAACAGTGGTCTGAGGAGGGACAAACCACAAACCAGTGACAGGGCATTGGGCACCAAAGGCTCATCGATGCGCAAGGACAACGAAGGCTATCCTGTCCGGAGCAAACTGACAGAATGCTTTCTGTGGCACAAGTCACACACAATTTGAATGATGATTAGGAAGGAATAGGAGGAATCTGTCACACAACACAGTGCATTCCACCCTGATGTATATGGGGGCTGTTTAGTCGCAGACCCCTGTCCACAGCCGAAAGCCCCTACACGGACCCACAAGTGTTGGAACTGACTTTGGAGCAATGGAAGAAGCTTGCCTTGTTCGATGAGTCCCATTTTCTTTTACATCACATGGGAAAGTGATGGTACCAGAATGCACTGTGGGACGACGACAAGCCGGTGGAAGGAGTGTAATGCTCTAAGCAATGTTCTGTTGGGAATCCCAGTGTCCGGCCATTCATGTAGACATCAATTTGACACCTGCCACTTAACTAAACATTGTTGCAGACCGAGTTCACCACTTCATCATGACAGCGGTGTTCCCTGGTGGAAGTGGCCTCTTACAGCAGGATGTTGCGCTCTTCCACACTGCACACATTGTTCAGGAATTGTTTGATGATCATGATGAAGAGTTCGAGGTGTTGCCCTGGCCTCCAAATTCCTCAGATCTCAATCTGATTGAACGTGTGGGATATACTGGACGAACAAGTCTAATCCAATGCGGCTCCACCTTGGAATAAAGGATCTGCTGTAAATGTATTGGTGCCAGATACCAGAGGACACAATCAGGGGTCTTGTAGAGTGCATTCCTCGTGGGTCTGCACTGTTTGGCAGGATGTGGTGGACCAACAGCATATTTATGCTGGTGGTCGTTATGTTTTGGGTCGTCTGTGTATCCGAGTGAAACGGCTTCTCGAACAAGAAAAAATGTAGGGCGGGACTTGATTGTCCATCGTGAATTGATTGGATTGTTGTTGTTTGCTATTGCTGTGAACTCATGTCAGTGACAGATTATTATGTTTTCTTTTTTTTTTTCTTACGTCTTTTTTTTTATACTTATACATGCATACATACATGATCAGGGAAATGAAACATGGTTGTATCTCTTTCAATTAAAAAAAAAAAAAAAAAAAAATTGCGTACATCTAAATATATAATTACTTACTAAAAGACTAAAAGAAAAAAAGATACAAATAATAAGGTTAAATCATATCTTTGAATAAGTCATCGCAATGCATTTTTTTATAAGTCTAAGGGATGAAATAAAAGAGTTAAATTCAGCAAGAAAAAGAGGAAAGCTTAAAGGAGACTTAAGCCATTTTTGCTTGTTAATGAATCATTTTGCATACAAAATAACGAGATTAACAACATATTCAAGAGACAGCAGCTTTGAGTTTTCATAATAAAAAATATCTTCTTTAAGGTTTAATGTATGGGTCACATCAGTAGGGCTGAAAACATAAGTACTTAAATCAGCCCAAAATGTATTGGTTATATACAATTACAAAATAAATGGGCAGCTGTTTCTTCAACAAAACCACAAAAAGAGCAAGTTTCATCAATATCAGAATATTTAGAAATGGATGAGTTAACAGGATAGATTTTATGAAGTATTTTTATAATGTATTTCTTATGTGAGTGACAGATTGATCCCGCCATCATGCCAGTAAAAACGTCATCAGGGAAGATAAGAAATGTCTCTGCAAGAGGGAGGGTAAGTTATTTTGATTCAAGATTACCAGGGCATATGAATAAATAAATAAATGTGCACGGATAAATCATTTATAATAAACACTGCAATATTCCATAAAAAAAAAGAATAGTTCATTTTGATTTCATGGTGACTAACAATTGAACTGCAAAAACAGTCAAAAGTCAGGAAATCATGCGGTGAAAGGAAAGTGATCACAGCACAATGGAAAGCTCATGTAAATGGTCATTTTCCTCCCCTCAGACTTGACTAACTAGCAATTACTGTTCACATGTGTGAGGGCAGAGAGCAAGAGAAGTTATTTTAGTTGCAAAACGGAATAAACAATATCACCAATGCTCATTGAGAAAATTCAGAGAGGAAGATATACACAAATGAATATTTGTATACACAGTGGCCCTAAAAAGCATTTGGACAAATTGATGAATGTCATAAATGTCCATGTTAAAATTATGTTTTGTGTGTTATTCCAATTCCCACTGCACTTTCCAAAGGGAGGTTAAAGTCAAATACTGCACAAAAGCAACACGATTTCAGGCCTAAGGGCATTGCACAACATGACTCACTTAATTTCTGTGCCAATATAAACTTTTTCTTTCACCCTATGCCCCCCTCCCCCCCAAGACTGATATAAGATTGGAGTTTAAATTAAAATATGAGCTGTTCTTATCTGATGAGCCACTCTCTATGAGATTCTTAATTACTAGTTGAGTCGTGTTGATCTCAGCCTCATGATCCCACTGCATCTTTTACCACCCAGGCATACGGCAAGACCACACTCAGAGCACCCGGCCCAAATGCATCCTTCTTTATTAAGACGGCACTCGTTGTTCCCACTATTAATAATTATGGGTTTAAAATATCATGTGTGGATTTGAATACATTGGTAACATGATGACACAGCAGGTCTTCTAAAAGGACTCGTCGAAAACATCTTTAGTGAAGCACAGAACAAATCTGACAGAGCTGCTGATTTGGATCTTTTTTTAAGTTTTTTTTTTTTTTACCACGTAGAATGAGAGAATATTTAACTTTTATTGAGAAAAAGAGCATCTTCTCAGAGAATAAGACCAACATTTGACTAATGGTTTAAAGAGTGAAAAGGATTCAAGGCCAGTTATTAAGTAACCGAGTTAATCTAATTTTCCTTTAAATTGACGCACTAAAAATAGCAGAGAAACTTCTAGGCACCAGCTTCACTTCGGTCGCACATTTTGAAAAGCACTTGATATTTTCATTAAAAAGATATTGTTAGCTGAACAGTTGCAATCTTTCAGTGTGGAAGTTAAATTAGATATTTAATGGTTAGATTATTTGTTTTTTGTACTGCTTCAAAATCCACAACCAAATATCCTTTGGTAAATTAAATAAACACAAACTGAACAGAAACTGAACTTAAGTTTCTGCATAATGATGTTTAAAGTATTGACTCCTCAATTCAACCTTTTAGACTTGGGTTGAACAATTCAAAGAAAGAACAGAAAGAAATCTGAACATATACTGACCTCTACCGGCCATTGCTAATGATCCTGATAAAGAAAGCACTGCATGCTTTAGGGTGTCAAAACCAAAATAAATAAAATATTAAACCAAACATTTGTTCATAGGTTTATCAAATCACTTCTCACATCAAACACATTAACACAACATGGCTTTAAATAAGATTACATGTTTCATTGCACATTATTTCAACATACAAATGATGTACAGTATTTCTGACTTATCACTCAGTCATCAGTGCACTAATCTATCTTCCCTGATTCTGTTTTACAGAGAAATCGTTTAATACAGACCAAGAGCAAGACTAAAAAACAAGTCTAATGGGGGGTAAGGTATAAAAAGGGCTTTAGACAATGTACTGTATGTTGTGTACTGAATTAGAGGTTGCACAAAACTGATACATTTGTCCTAATGTTGTGCTCTACTCAAGTATATCATACTTCCAGTCAGGAGTGTTTTGTGTGGATCATTGCTTGATCTCCTGTTCATCAGCTTTGCTCTCCGTTTGCCCGTCTCTTCTGTTGGTCAGCTCTTTCAGTCCCTCCTGAAGCTGCTCAACAGCCTCTTCATCTCCTGCTGCACGTGCCAGAGCCAGGGCTTCCTGATACAGTTTACCAGACTCCTCAAATTCCCCTGGTTAACAAAAGAAAAACAACATTGACAATTTTGGATCCCTGAGAATATCTTCTAGAATATTATTTATATATTAATAATGAGTGAGACATCGCAGGCCTGTGAGCATTAGTACCCACAAGGCCCGTCTGTTTAACAGCTCCGGCCACTGTTAGGCTAGTGGCACAGGAAGGAGGGCAAAAAGTACCCTATTCCATGTTTTTAAAGATTGTAATGATTAGTGTAAGAGTATTTAATTCTATTCAGAGTATTTATTTTGTACGTGCAATATTATTATTATTTATTATAATGTGTATCTATTTAAGAAAGGTTATTTATATAGAGGTTTAGCTTTTTTTTTTTTTTTTGCTCTCTGCTCTACCTTAAGATGTGTATGTGTATGTGTATGTGTGTGTATATGTATATGTATTCTTTTTAAATCTAAAACCTGACTCTGAGAAACGCACAAGAATTCCAATGTACCTGTACTGAAACGTACCTGTGCAAATGGCAATACAACTTTGAACTTGAACTATTATAATCATTTTATTTGTAATTTTAAAACACTATAATATAATATAATATAATATAATATAATATAATATAATATAATATAATATAATATAATATAATATAATATAATATTCACAAGTGTGGGGTCAACAATATTTTTTAAGCAAGGCTGCATTAAACTGACAGAATTGTTTTTTTAAATAAATGCTGTTCTTTTTAACTTCCAATTAATCAAATAATCGATTATGATTTCTACAAAAATAATAAGCAGGTGAGCAACTGTTCAACATTGATAATGATAAGAATATGTATGTATATATATATATATATATATCCTCCTTACCCCGAACTTTTGAATGGTAGTGTGTGTTTGTATATTAAAACAATTTTAAATAGTAAATGTCAGAGTAACTAAAGCGAGCAGTTGAACCTTTGTGCATGAGAATTCCTGCCATATTCCCAAGCAGCACATGTTGATCAGGGTGACCCGCTGCCTGTGCAAGCTCAACGGCCTTCTTTGCATGAGCCAGCGCCTCATCGTGCTTCCCCTGCAGGTCCAAAACGGTCGCCAGATCACTCATCAGAACCAGGGTCTGAAACAGATTAATTACACAATAATACCATTTAATGCAGTGGTTCTCAACCCTGTCCTGGCGTACCCCCAACACTGCACGTTTTCTTTGTCTCCCTAATCAAACACACCTGATTCAACTCATCAGCTCATTAACCCATGTGATAATGAGCTGATGAGTTGAATCAGGTGTGTTTGATTAGGGAGACAAAGAAAACGTGCAGTGTTGGGGGTACGCCAGGACAGGGTTGAGAACCACTGATTTAATGGGACAAACACCTTCTTGCCACATAGACCATCAGAAGATCTTGTAAAATGACTGGATATATTTTGATTGAATAAATATGACTATAAGATATATGTACCACCAGTACATTTATACTTGCAAACCAGTGTCAGAACATCACCTGTGGGTGGGACTCTCCCTGCTCCTCCTGGCAGATCTGCAGCGCATGCCGGTAATCCCTGCAAGACCCTGTGAAACGACGATTAGCCGCCAAATAACGTGCCCTCGCATCCAGACTAAGGCCGAGCAGCAGCCTGGTATCTTTGCGCTCCTCATCTAATTGAAACAAACATTTAGTAAGAAATCGAATAAAACACAAATAACCTGTTTGCACAGGAAGTAAACAGAACATACCTGTCAGGCTTTCTGGAAGAAGGTCCTTCTGTTTCTCAATCTTGGCTTCTAAAGACTCTGTGCAGAACTGGAAGCCATGCTCCGCCAACTCGTTCCTGGAAATGAAAAGTATGAGTTACTGAACAGCGCAGAGGTTAACAGGTCAAATGAGTTAAGTGTTTATCCCCCTTTTTACTCTTTCAGCAGAGGATCAGAACTCACTTGCTTTGAGTGGCATATATGCTGGCCAGCTTCAGCGACATCTCAATCACTGCATTGTCATCCTTTTGAGATAAAACAGGTACAGGCGGTAAAAAAAAAAAAAAAAAGACTGAGGCTGATCGCATTTCTCATTGTTTCTGTTTTGTTTATAGGATAATAAGTCAACCAATGTTCAGAAATGAAGGAATCAGTAATGAGCGTTGCATACAAAAGTAATTACATGCAAAAAGATATTCCATTATTGAGTGTTTTTACCTGTGGTGTTCCCCCTGACAGCATGAAACTCATGGCTGCTTTAAACAGCTTCTCAGCCTGCAACAAAGAACAAACAGAGTCACATGCTGACGTTCACTACAGATGTACATACTGATGTAGAGCACAGAGTCAGTGGAGTAGGGCAGAGGGAAGATCTCCCTCAACCATACTCACATTTTCCAGCTGACCTTGGACAAAGGCAAGATTTGCCATCTGTGAAGAGAGAGGAACATTAAGCTAAATTATGCTCTCATTTAATCTTCATTGTCATGTAATATTATTGTTTGACAAGGAGAACTCTAGGGAAAAATGGACTGGGCTAGGTGAAAAAGGATGACAAGACAAAAAAAAAACATACCAGGCTGTACGTATATATAATGGCATCATTACTGTGCATCTGATGTGCCAGTCTGACAGCTTTGTGTAAGAAAACATTGGCTGCGTCCAGTTCCCCAGTCATCATGCTGTACTGTGAAGGAGGGAAAGTAACATTCAGTCTTATAAAATAAACATTATGAATTTCTTTTTTTTTTTTTATATTAAAGACAGAAATACATGACAAGATTTTTGTTCCCCGTTTACAATCTACAGCCATGGCCAAAAGGTTTGGCAGTGACATTAATTTTGTGTTTTTCAAAGTTTGCTGCTTCAGTATTTGTAGATTATTTTTTACATGTTCCTATGGTATACTCTTAAAAAAACTCTGGTTCTTCTTTATAGCCTCTGCAATTTGCTCTGGCATGCTGGATATCGCCTTCTGGGCCAATTCCTGATCGATGGCAATCCATTCTTGCTTTGTTAATGATCGGAGTTTATCACACTTTGTGGGTTTCTGCTTGTCCACTTATCTTTCGAGGATTGACCACAGGTTCTCAATGGGATTAAGATCAGGGTATTTGCCTGGCCACAGATCCAAAATTTCAATGTAATGATCTCCAACCCACTTTACTATCACTCTTGCCTTGTGACACGGTGCTCCATCATGCTGGAAAATGCACAGATCATCACAAAATTGCTCCTGGATCATTGGCAGAAGTTTCTCTTGCGGGACATTTTGATACCGTTCTTTATTCCTGGTGGTGTTTTGGGGCAGAATTGTGAGAAAGCCCACTCCCCTGAATGAAAAGCAACTCCACATATGACTGGTCTCAGGATGCTTCCCTGTTGGCACGACATGGTATCGTTCACCTTTTCTTTGCTGGACAATAGATTTTCCAGATGTTCCAAACAGTCAGAAGGGGGCTTCAACAGAGAAAATAACTTTGCACTAGTCTTCTGCTGTCCAATCCGTGTACTTTCTGCAGAATTTCAGTCTTTCCTTGATGTTTTTTCTTGGAGAGAAGTGGCTTCTTTGCTGCCCTCTTTGACACCAGGCCGTTGTCGAAAGTCTTGGCCTCACTGTGCTGCAGATGCACTCTCAGCTCTCGCAGCTCTGCACTGGTGGTGAGACGATTCCTTCACCAACTCTTCAAGAGGAGACGGTCCTGCCGCTTGCTGGACAATCTGGGATGTCCTGAAGACTTCTTCACTACAGTTGAACCTCTCTCCTTGAAGTTCTTGATGATCTGGTAAATGGGTTTTTCAGGTGCGATATTCTTTGCATCAACTTCCTTGGATGTGAGACCATTTTGATGAAAGAGATGATGGCTGCACGCCTTTCTTTGGATGTAACCATTGCTAACACAAGAACACAATGATTGGAAGCACTTCTTTCCTCCTTTTATAGCAATTAGTCTGTTCTTATAATCCAATCAGAATGATAGAGTGATTTTTAACATACTATCACTCGTTCACACTTTCCCATGTAAAGATGATATAATTAGTGAAATGATGTAAGCTATTGCTTTTTGCAATTATTTAAAATGCTCAAGCAGCATCCTTTGCAAAACACAAAATGTGTCACTGCCAAAACTTTTGGTCATGACTTTTAGACGAGGCAGCGCTAGTTGCTGAAAGTCAGAGTCAGTCTTGCAGATTTCGGTTGACAGATTTACCAGATACAGTGTATCTGTATAATAATAATATATTTACAAAGTGAATGATGACTAGTGTTTAAAATCTGTTCCCTTTTAGAGCAGATTCTTAGAAAAAAAGAGTGACCACTACTGAAATGTCTTCTATTTTACATATTTCTTTTCTTTACCACAAATTATTTAATCACAAATGACATTATCAGAATAACAAAGCAATAATTTGAACTGAAAAAAAATCTTAGTGCTTTGTCCCTCTGTTTCACATTTTTGTTGTGGTCTAAGACTACGCTAAGATAAACACATGTAGATCAAACTGTCTTGATGTGATACCTGTATGTCTGTTAAGAGAACTCAATAAAGCATCACAGTATACCTTGGCTTTCTTCAAGAGCAGAATAAGTTCATCCTCGAGTTTTTGTTCCTCAGTCCTCTCATCAGAGCTTCCAAAAAGTGAAAAGGCTGATGCAAAAGCAAATCAGAGAGTCAGATCATTTTAACCATTATACAGAGGTCAGGTCATCCTGGGTCGATGTGGTTTATACATTACGTAAATATCATGAAACACTGTTATGACATCATCACGCATGTTACGTCATGTGTCAAATGCAGATGCTAATGTTTTCAATTCACAGACAATCTGCATGTAAACTCACCCATGACACCCCACGCAAGAGTCCACCTGCTGAACCCTGCCGTGTCTGAGTGAAGCTTCTCTCTGGTGCATTGAGAAGAACTGACACCCGGATGCCATGACCTTCTGTGCCAGCGGCTCGACAGCACAAACACTCCAGCCGACCCACGCAGCGATTTAATTCTCGCAAAAGATAAACTGGAACCGGATACATTTCTTGTACAGTCATTTACACAATGCTTCAAACAAGCTACCTGTGCAGCCAGCAGCCGACAGTAAGAGCGCAGCGCCATATTTGTGATTATGCAATGACGTCAGCCGTGGTGGTCACGTGACCCACCCGAGTTTATTCTGTTTTTTTTTTATTAATTGTGCACTGAATGTGGATTTATTACACTACTATTACATATTTATTTATTTTATTATTTATTACACTATTATATTTAATGTCTGGCAGTTCAGATGGCATTCCTGTAAATCATATTAGTTTTATTAAAACATATTTGTAACATTTTTTTATACATTTTGTCCCTTTTCTAAGAATAAAATAGGTGTTTATTTTTTCCTTTTTTTCTCCAGAATATTGTTGGCAAGGACCAGTTGCTTAATTACATCATCCCGCAGGAAATTACTCAATTTTTGGTTGTAAAACAACAGCAGAAACATAAGAGGTTGAAAATAGTCCATAAAGGAATGTCATTAAAAAATCATTTACTCACCCTCAAGTTATTTCAACCCTGTATGAATGTCTTTCTTCTTCTGCTGAACACAAAGGAAGATATTCTGAAGGATGTCAGTAACCAGACAATTGATGGACCTCATTGACATCCATAGTAGGGGGGGGGGGGAAACTATGGAAGTCAATGGGGTCCTATCAACTGTTTGCTTACCGACATTTCTTCAAAATATCTTTTCTTGTGTTCAGCAGAAGAAAGAAACTCATTCAGATTTGAAACAACTTGAGGGTGAGTAAATGATGACAGAAATTTCATTTTTAAGTGAACTATTCATTAAAAAGAAAAAAAAAGAAAAAGAAAAAAAGAAATAGCCGGGTCTACAGATGATATTCCGGACCTAGTACTTAAATACTTCTTTAAAAAAGTTACTCAATACAAGGAATAAATGATACAAAAGACGCATCAATTTATGATTTACTGTTCTGTTTATTTATTTTACTAAAGCACAAATGAGGTTACAAAACAACACAATATCCTGTTAATGACCCACTGGCCATTAGTTTTTTAACAGGAAAAAGAGGGAATGCTTTGCTTTGTAATAATGTCTTTTCAGTTCTAGGTTAGCACACAGCGGGTCTCTGTATCACAGTTCATGCAATAATTTTAGGTTAAACATATTAATTTGCAGACACAGAAGTGCACAGAAAGAGAGAGATAGGAAAGGCATAGGGTGATCCATATACACAGTCACTCACACGTAACATTCACATGAACAATAATAACTTCACAAAACAAAATTATACAAATCACCTCATATATCAATACTTCCTCTGAAAAAAAAAAGCTTTAAATTAAGCTGTCTGTAAAGCCTTTATACATTTCATCTTAAAAGGGAACAAAGTTGCACATGTGAAATGTCCATCTAAAAGCAAAACATAAATGTGTGTTCTTTAAACTGCCATTTATTTGAATAATAATAATAATAATAATGTAGGTTTAGCATAGCCTTTATTCGAGAAATAAAGTATATGGGTATGTAAGGCTTTCTACCCAAATCTCTTATAATCCACCGCGACAAATAAAACATCTATCCATCAAAAAGATAAATGTGTAGTTTACAGAAACAGTACAAAATGCAAGCAAAGAGGAATGTCGAATGACTTTAAAACCGATTTAAGTTTTCAGAATTAAGGAATGTTTTCCCAAGTTAAAATGTTAACACACTCTTACATCTATACGTTCATAAGAGACAAGAGAGGTAAATTAAAGCCCATGGAAAATAAGCCCTATGTGCTTGAAACCAATCATAAAGTACATTAGATCATCTTCTGTCTCTTCTGAATGTAACAAGTCGTCTCTTTTAAAATAAGTCAGCACCTGATAAATCAGTATCTAAAACATTTTACTTAAAGTTGAATAAAAGTAATTAAGAGTCTTGAAAATGAGTAAAAACTCCCAAGCATCACACACTTACGAGTTAATTTACCAGGGAATTTATAGACATATATTGCAGACCTCACAACTGACCTGTTGGACTTGGACCAAGTGCCATCATCTAAGGATGTTATATTTGGCACACAATATATTTTTTATAAATCTGCGCTGGCTCCATACAACACGACTGAAACCTCATTAGTAGCCAGCATTCAGAGGCACAAAATATTTACTGACCGCAACAAGTTCCTGTAAGGTCCAGCTTCAGACCCCCAGTCAAGAGCAGGTTATTGCACAGATGAAAACAAAGTGTCACATACGGGCCTCTCTGGCTCTGGTATAATTTTACTGCACAATGTTGCTGATTGACAAAACTCAGTTTTGAAAAGACCGTTACACATTTAGTGCCAGCAAGGTTTAAGATTCATTTCAACTATACAACGTGCAAACGAAGGGATATTAACCATTGACAAGTACTGTCACTATATTCCCCACTAAATCACACTCAAAAACACATTGATTTTTTTTTTAACTCATTATAGAATGCTGGAATTCTAAACATTTTTATGCAGATGACCTAGGGCATTTCAAATCACTTTAAGTGAAATGTGCAGTGATTGTCTACCCTGCATGTGTAAATCTGATTGGTAGTATGGTTATCTTGCAGCAAGGGTGCATACTAGGTGTGCAAAGAGCTGCCTAACCACGAACAAAAGGAAAATAACAGCACACATCAAACTTCAACTGCCACACAGAATGAAGGAAGACTGTTCACTCCTCACCAAACCTTGGAGTAACTGAGAAGGGTAGGTGTGTGTGTGTATGAGTGTGTGTGTGTGTGTAACAGAGGACAAAGGCTCAAGCCCAGGCATAGCATGAACACCTCACTCCCGGCTCCCAAAGAGCTGAAGGAAAAAGAGGAATATGTAGACCACATCCATGTAGAGGCAGATGGCTCCAAACACATGCTCCTCTGGGTTCAGAGAGTACCGTCTGTTGCCAATCAACAACTGCATGTCGAACGCCAGGAACTAAAGCATAACAAAAGGAAGATAATTCGATTTTGTATGAAACACATAAACATGACAATATTGCATAACCAAAGGGTACTAACCAGAGTGAAAACCAGAGCGCCAAATCCAGCATAAGCAGTATGCAACCAGGGTATCTAAAACCACAGACAGAGTAGACACACTACGGTTGGACCGATATCAAAATTATGGCTTCAGAATGATTTCAATATAATACGTTTTTAGTGATTATAGCCTCATTCAGAGTGTCAGTCCAAATCTGATTTTTATCCATTTCTGATTGGAATGCAATCCTATTTGGCATGTGTGAACAGCAAAAAAAATCATATGAAATGCAATTTTTACAAATCCGTTTTGTGCTATATTTACATGTGGTTTTTCTGGAAATACGTTTCAGTCTGACTGCTCTGATCAGATTTTGCGTGGTTTATGTCACTTTCTCATGCCAGGTAAAACGTAAACATCAGACTTGTTAAAGGAAACACACTGAATATCCCTGGAGAAACAAGGTTGTGTAGTTGTGCCTGTCGAGAAGAAAATTACAATACAATGGAGACAAACTGTATTGCAAACCCCTCCACGTTGCTATTGTTGTTTTTGGCGTATGCCTACCATACAGGACAGGACACAGATCTGAACAGTTGCGATACACAGTGTGGACTGTCAATAATTTAGATCAGATTGATTCCAATCCGATACACAAATAATTGGATTCGGACTGACAGTGTGAACAAAGCTATTGGCACATCATATTAGTGACAGCTTCAAAGTAATCTAGAATATTTAAATATCTGTTTAGCAGCTTACATATCCAAATGGTGCAGTAAAGAACAGCAGAAGCCCGGTTATCATCAGCACCATCATAAGAGAGAAAAGTAATCCGTGACAGGTGGTGAAGTCAACCTAGATGACAGAAGACAATGCTCAATCAAATGACACATAAATGAAGCACTTGACAGAAGCCGTTTAAGATGAAATGAGCTCACCCTGGACTGGAAACAGAAGAGTGTGATGGCCAGACACACCAGTGCTGTGATGCCCACACTCAACATCACCACTTTGGTATTATGGTAGCTGTATATAGAAAGAGTGAAAGTAGTGCTGCAAGTTAGACACACACATATTCTCGTACATCTATCTTTGAGAGGACAATCATTGACACAATGCAATCTCTAGCTGTGAGTGTGCGTTAGAAATCAGAAATGGTGAGAGAACATTGTGCTTGGTATGTTTTTCGTCTTCAGCCGACAAAGTTTACATCCCGTCTGGCTAGCAGGCTTCTCGTAATGTTTACACATTAGGTCAGTAGGTGGAGAGTAGGTGACTTTTGTGGCTGTTCGAACAGATTCGACTACATGAGCATCTACACTACGAAAGCAATCCGGTCTAATATCGTTTTCGACTACCTCTGGCAGTGGTCTAAACTAGACAAGCTCAAAAACATTAGACCCAGTTTACACCAGTATTTAGCGTTGTTCACTTGTGATCGGATTGACAAAAACACATCTTAATAACAAGTGTAAACAGGGCCTAAGAAAGATAGTCCTCACAAAGAAAGTTGTACAAGTACACACACACACACACATATATATCAATAGATAACTATAGCAGTGGCAGTGTACAAGGCTACATTTGGGTTCATTTTGTCTCCTACTTTACTATTTATTGGATTGACCATAATGACTTTAATGTTGTGTATAATAAGAGCAAGGACTCTAAACTTTCAAATTCTGAACATCCACTAACATTTCCTAGTCCAGAGATCTAAATATGTAAAAAATAATTCATCTTAATAATAATAAAGAATATTTCACCTCTAAGTTTCTAACAGTGGTCCATTTTTTATATTAATATAATATAATAAAATTGTGTCTTACCTGGCGAGCATGCCAGCCATATAGGACATTGCCAAAGTCTAAAAATATAAAACAAGAATATTCATCCTTTTCTTTTTAAAGTTATATGATAGTGAATACTATATAACATTTACTATCATTTAACTAGTGAACTAATGAAACAATGAGATTACTTACAAAAATGGCTAAAAGGATCATATTGGTTGGGTATCTTCGTCTGCAGATGAAACACAAACACTGTTCAATAAGTGATGGATACAAAAGAACCTCAGAGTTCCTGATATCACACATCTCCTATGTAAGCCAGAAGGTGAACTCAAATACAAGAACAATGTATAACAAACAGTATCTGTTTACCGTGCGTTTGTGCTGCACACAAGCATCAGGTATGTTCCCATGAAAGTCATGCTGGACAAAACAGAGCAGTGTCACTCACAGGGTAACAAACATAATTCATATATAAAGCTCTAAAGCCTCTAAAGAGGAAAGAGCACAGTGTATAGTTCACTTACTATGAGGTCAGATAGAAAACCCGGTTGTACTGTACAAACTTCCGGACTGGCTCACTGTGAAAGACAGGACAGTCTTCAGTGACAGTGCTTTCTTTTAAAAGTGGAATAAATGGATAAAATTGAGTTGTGTGTATCAATTACCAAAATGTGAAGAGTGACACCACACTAAATGTGACCATGAGCTGAACCATGAGGATACAGAAGACCTGCAAACAATATATATGCTTTTCATAACTAGAAGGTTCGTACGCTGCTGTTCAAACGTTTGGGGACAGAACAATAAAAATAAAAATAAAAACTTTTCCCATGCTCACCAAGGCTACATTTATTTGATCAAAAATACAGTAATATTTTGAAAAATTACTACAACTTTAAACAGCCGTTTTCTATTTTTAAATATTTTAAAGGGGTGGTTGATTATTTTTTCACTTTTCTACCTTTAGTTAGTGTGTAATGTTGCTGATTGAGCATAAACAACATCATCTGCAAAGTTACGAAGCTCAAAGTTCAAAGCAAAGGGAGATATTTTCTTTTACAGAAATCGCTTTTTAAGGACTACAACAAACGGCTGGTAGGGACTACAATGAGCTTCTTTAAGGGGTTAGTGACATCACTAACCCTAAAATGTAAATATTGCAACAGATTGCGATATCTGAATGATTGGAAAAAGATGGCTTCTGCCTGTATACGCGAAGTTGACTGTATGTATTAAATATCTTCTTATTAAACTGTCTGGACCAGGGTTTCCGTTGTCCGGTAATTACCGGACATTGGCCGGGAAAAAAATGAAATGTCCGACAAAATTAAATCTCTCCGGTCAAATTGTCCGATTAAAATTGCGTAATAATCCCGCCCCCCTAACACAATATGAATTTGAGAATAAGCCTAAAATGTATAAAGCAAAAATACACCCACCTTTGGCTATGTTATAAAGGAACAGGCTCTACTGTTTGAAAGTTATTAAACAACATCGCATGCTGCATTTCAAATAAAGCGCACGCCTAGAACGGCTGTAATATAGACCTAAACAACGAACGATTGAGTGAGACGTTTCAAATATGGCCAGGCCCATTGATATTATTGATAAAGTTGATAAATTGATAAAGTTGACGATGCAGACTCGCCATCTTCGCAGTAGTGAACGCGCCTATAGAGAGAAGTGTGCACGCGCCGACGCCTCCGTGTCCTGATTAGCATATATTGTCCACTATTGCTTCTTATTTATTAATCCAGGCAAATTTGTTGATGAAACATTGATTAAAATTAATATACAATTTATACAAAACGAAATTTTCAAGCAAAAATAATATTCGAAGATCGCTGGGTTGATTATTATTCGAAAATCGCACCCCTCCACCACATGCACGCACACATGCATTAGACTACACACCAGAGCATGTGAGCAAAGCGGAGCGGTGTGACGCTTATTATAAGTTAAAACACTTAAATATACGTTTCATATTTATAAATAATATAGCCTAATGTTATTATTTTTTTATTTCATCTATGTTGATTAGGCTATATGAAAAGGGAACCGCATGAGATGAGTAAAATAGGATTATAAGATCACCAATAGGCCTATATATCGGAAAACATTTGGAATTGGTCAGACATGATTTTGACCACTTATTTAGTTTTGTTTTGTAGAAAGCCTTTCTTTAAAGTTTATTTCGTTTTGTATAAATTGTATCTTCATTTTAATCAATGTTTCATCAACAAATTTGCCTGGATTAATAAATAAGAATTTATTCATATGAAGTGTGCATTTCTCTCTCTAGGCGCGTTCACTACTGCGAAGATGGCGAGTCTGCATCATCAACTTTATCAATTTATCAACAAAAATATTTCATGCATAATCATTACTTTCGCCGGTTCTTTGTGGCAAGCTTTATTTCAGGTGTTGCGTGATATCTCTGCGCCCAAGTAGCAGTGCTTCGCCTGTGTAGAGTCTCCGCAACGGCGATAGATTGAAACGCGCGTCCGAGTGAAGATTGCGCAACTCGCGCAGCGCGTCGTCCATGCAACTGATAGCAGCGGACACGAGCGCTCAGCTTGATTTAAAAAACAACTGATTTTAGCGCTAGATCTCTTATTTAATAGCGAACTAAATGAATGATCTGCTAGTTAACTGGATATGTTTTATTTATTTGTATTAGGTACATCCATGCCTCAATGTTTCAAAAAGTGAATGTGTGTGAAACCATAGTAAAAAAACAATTGGTGTTGATTGACGCCAATCGGACTTTCATGTTTTTTTCCGTCTATTTGAAAGTTAGGCTAATAATAACATGTTGCATTCGATACGGCCTGATTATGTCATTTTTTAAGTTATATGGCCTGCCTCCAGTTTTCCTCAACTTGACTAATTAAGAGGCGATATTTGACCGGCATATCATCAAAATGTCCGTTAAACGAAACCTCTGCCGGTCACTTTGACCGGCACCATTTTTTTCTAGCGGAAACTCTGGTCTGGACACTGACAAAGTTCTCAATGCTTCGGTTTGAAGGTAGGGACCCTCATTATGCTACCGTGCTAGTGTGGGGCTATTTTGAGCCTTGTTAGTGGTATTAACAAGCGATTTTTATTTGTCATTACTCGATGCCCAATATACTAGCATTATACTAGCTTTATAGGCTAAACTGTTTTTAGAGATAAAACTATTTACATTCGATATTCATGAAAACAAATCTCAGATAACGGTTGACTAGGTAACAATGTGTAATTAGACCAAAGGTTCATTTTGCGCCGGAGTTCTCCTTTAAAGCAATATCCTTTGAATCACATATCGAATATCACAGTTATTGCATATCAAAGTTATTGCATACTGCATTCTTCTTCAATATCGTGCAGCCCAAGTCTTCACTGTTAAATATAAATTGATTCATAATGAAGATACAAAAGTGATTCAGTCAAAAGCAGTGAGTGATTTTCTGTTTTTTTATTTTTATTAAATAAACAAAACAGACACCTACAGTTTATTAACCTGCTGTCCCTTTAGGAAACAAATGCATGGATCTAATATAACGTTACACATCTGATTTGTTTAAGTTCGCCTAGGATATAACAGACTACGTTTATGTGAATACTTCACACAATGTGCATTTTTACATAATTGTGTGTGTATTTGACCATTCAAGCACAATAAGCTGTGAAAGATGTAAATGTAATGTAAATGTAAAGACAATTGAATTCGGCATCACATGCATCTGAGACACGACATCTGAACTCACGCTTCGGCTGTGTCTATTAGCGAGAGCACCGGATTGAGTCCTTTTTTGCGGCTTATTGTGATTTATAACACTCTACACGTCAATAACTTTAAGTAGTACTGCAAAGTTAAAGACATGTAACAGTTTAGAAAAACGATTTTTTTAATTTGTGAATCGATGCGAATCAGCAGAAGATAGAATTACGTTTTATATGTGAATCAATCCCCCCTCACCCCTATTTAAAATTGTATATTTCAATCATATTTACTGTATATATAGAAGCAAATATAGAAATATGCTGCTATGAATAAAATGCATTTTGTTTGTTGTGAGACCAGTATAAATGTTGGCAGGCCAAGTAAAAATCTCAAATAACAGCCTCATGAGCCCTGATTAACCTGAACATCTTTTTAATTATAGATGAGCAACAGACACATTAAAAGATAGACTGCTTACTTGTATCCAACCCAATTCATATCTGTTAATAATGTTTGAACTGTCAAGCAGACTGCAAATAGAAAAACAATTCAATGAGAACTTTCACACCTTCCTGATGAACATGCGGCGGACATTCTTGTCCTCCCAGGTGCTTCCACTCAGGCCATCGAAGCTGCTGCTGGAGCTCGGATCAGAGAAGGGTGAGGACATGTCTGCAGCATAAGCATTGGAATATCCTGGACCTAAAGAGACATTTTGCACTATTAACAACATTCAGAGAAGAAAGACGTAATTTTATCCTCAGACTTTTCTTACAGTAAAGATAAGGTTCCTTGCATATAAAGATTTGTGCATCCATATCCCAAATTGCTGTAATAAAATGTCACATACTAGGGCCGGGATGCACATAAGCCCAGCTGGGGTGCATGGGCATGGTTGGTGGTGGCATTGGGGGCAGCTGGGAAGCGTAAGTGAAGCTATCAGCTCCTTGTTCTTTATCTCCTGCTGTAGCTTCAGCATAGCTGGGTGGGGCTGCTGGCAGACTCATGGTCTACTGTAAAACAATAACATTCAAAAAATCATCTGAGAATGGAATCAAGCACAAGTAGATCTGTTATTCCAGCACCCTGGCTAGCATTAATATTTTATGCCACAAAGCCAATGGAACTTGGCAACTCTTCACCACATGAATTCCTTATGAACCTAAAACTTGGATCCTTTCCTATTTTAAGCCAATGGCAGACAAAAAGGTTAACCTTTTTTTTCTCCAATAGCTGGGTTTCAGTCACGTGATTATGATGACGCGCGAAATTCAGATGGAGGGCAGGGGAGTGAAGAGCGCAATGGACGAGATGGAGGAAAGTCCGTACTGTACTACTTTACACGCTATTACAAGAGAAAGATATAAACAAAAAATCAAACATATGTTGGACGTGATCCTTACGTTATGAAGAGAAGCGATTTTCAACTGAATTGAAAGATTTTCCTGCCATCGAGGTGGTAGATATCAGCAACTACCTCGTCTTACAGACATACTTTGACTTTACAAAGTTCGTAAATGTTACACGTTACACAAACATAGCCACTTAAGTTGTATTAACTCACCATTGACGAAGTGATCACTGCACAAACGGGCATTTTCCCATTCGGCTCCTCCCGACCGCAGACGTAGGTTTGCAAGCCGTTTTTCCGGAGTTTTTCGGTCAATTTCTTGCATTTCCCCCCTTTATGAACAACAACTTTTGGTACACGATAAAAACTCCTCGTGGTTTGATCGATTTAAGTAACCATAAACAACGCAAAACATAGGCATTTTGAGTTTGTTATAGTGCTTTCTAAATACAGCAAATCACTTCCTGCCCTCCATTTGCATTTCGCGCCATGGCAACGCAGTGGCGTGACGTCATATGAAAACAAGCTATTAAATAAATTTACCATATTTTAAAGTTCAATAATGTTTTTTTTATCTAATATTTCGTACTTAAGGGGATTTTATGATTTTTTTTAAGTTATAGAAATCTATAAGTTTATTGTTATGAAAAATTTCACAAAAATACTATTTTAAATTTTTATATTTTTCAAAACATGCTTTACTCTAAACCTGCCAGTAAATCTTTTGTTTGGGCCGCAGTACCAAACGTTTCCACTAGATAAAATTTGTTTCCCATTCATTTCCAATGCTGTAAATTTTGATTGTGAGAAGCACAAGAGTGAATATTTTTTTCAGACCATTTAACCCTTTCGAATCATGTCCATGATTCTTTTTCACATAGCAAGTGCCAAAACCTTTATCAAGTTTTGAACCATTCCGATAAATTAAAAAAATTCTAAATTAATTTTTTTTCGGGAAAAATGACTGAAGAACACCAGAGGGAGAACATCTTAATAATATTCCCTTTTAACTGGGCACAGATTATAATTTATAATGTTTATAAATGAACCATGTGACGCCTGACATACCATATGAATTAATAGTCAAAATAAAATCATATTTTTTTTTTTAAATACAACAGTGTAATACTATTTCTCCAAATGATATGTCTTAGTAAGATGATATTTAAATGCTTAGTTTTATGATCAAGACTCTAGTTTTATTTTGGGGGACAAAACTTATAATGCAGTGCAGTACAATGATAATTGAGAGAAATAAACGTTCCTAAGATGCCTATCACTCTTGATAGAACTACATGTATATGTGTGGATAATTAAGTAAACATGGGTTGCTAGTGCTACAGTCTAGTAAAAGTTCATTTAAAAATATTACTAATAATATAACATTTATTCTTACGTTTACTTTACAAAAATCATTAAATATTTGACAACAGAAAGACACGTGTACCATGACTTGATGGTGGACATTTACAATTACAATTATACTAAAAGGTTTTTTGTTGTTGATAACAATATATATATATATACAAACTATAAATAAGAGGGCAGAAGGCATGTAGAACAATTGTGTACAACAGGTTTTCTTCAGCAAAGTTATTATCATACTGATAATTAAGAGGCGTTCGAAATTCTTGTTTCAAATATGATACAGTACAGTTATACAGTTATTATAAGTAGTAAAGAGAACATCAGTTTAGACTCATAATGATCCTGTTAGTGCATGTAGAGCTATCAAACACAAAACACAACAGTCGTTTATTCTAAATTATTAGTTTTAATGAGGGGAGTAACGTTACTGTTATACTAAAATAATTTGCAACAGGACTGATATTAAGGTTGACAGCGATTAGCTTAGCTAGCACATCGGTGACACTTTTCAAGCCCATTCTATCGTGCAGGAGACGACAAATGCTTTACGCATATAAGAATAACGTTGTTTGAACTTACATCAAAATGCAGGCTCTAACAAATTAATTCTAGAGTAAGCTCTGTATTTCAACTTACCTTACTGTAACTGCTAATGTGACACTCGAGATCCAAGTAAAAACAATGAACTCAATCGTTCAATTACGTACTTCCGGTGTTTCCGGAAATGACAAACGCGAACCAATGGCAAGCTTCTTATACTGTCTATGATGGCAAGCTGGAAAGTGTGAAGCGATGTTGGTAGAATTTATTATTTTGCTAAATGTACCGTCTTTATGATGAAAATGTGTTTTACAGTGAAAACATGTCCTGTTGGATCTCAATGTAAGTTAGAAAAACGAAATAACTCACATTTAGAACACATATCACATATATTTTTAATAGAATCAGAAAGTGCTTTATTGCCAAGTATGTTTGCATACGTTTTGGTGACAGAAGCAGCTTCCAGTACACAGACAACAACAACAGTATACAGATAGTAAAATAGAAAATAAAGATGTGAATAATTTTTTTGACATTACATTTATCCATAAATGTAAATTGCCAGGAAAGAAACAATGCCTCTTAGTATTTTAAAAAAAAGAATACATTACATTGAATTAATCTAGTACTAAAAAAAGCTACTCCGTGTGACGACACCATAGCAAAAACGCAAAAACCAGTAAAGCGTCCTCACTAGTCAGTTGCCATATCATTTCACTATTAGTGAGGACAAGGGTTAGTCATAATTTCGATTTGGTATTATCTCGATTTTTTATCTCGTAATTATGACTTTTAAAGTAATAATTTCGACTTTATGATCGTTTTTTTCCCTTATGTGGGGGGAATTGGCTTCCATACGTCTTTTTTAACCCTTTGATGCGCAAGCTATGGATACCCCCTCTAATGCACAACATGGGTCTAAAAAGACCCGTATTCATTTCCTATGTTATTTCATGCATGGCTTGGCATTTTTTTTTGTTTCACCTTTTGAAATCACTTTATTTAAGCATTTAATATTTCATGATCTATAAATTTCATGATTTATGAATATTCTAAATATCTTCTTTTCAATTATCACAAAATTATATTTTAATATTTCCTAGGTTTTGTGTTAATACATCAAGTTTACACATATGGGTCTAAAATTACCCATCTATGCAAGCGTGATAAAACAAAAGAATAAAGAAAGCTTTTTGTTAAAATAACCAATGTCACAGTTGTTTAGATCAACACATTTACTGTAACACTTGAAATAAGTTTATTGGCCACTTTGTCACACATAACACACATATAACCGATAACACTGAAATTAAACTGTAGTGTAGTGCAACTGTAGGGATCTCCCCGCCACCATTGAACTCCCCACCACCAATGTGCAGCATCCACCCGGATGATGCGACAGCAGCCATAGTGCACCTGAACGCCACCACGCGACGGCTTATGTGACCGATAGCATTGATTTATGACCACAAATAAAAATGAATATGGAGGTACAAGGTTTCTGCCCAACAGCGACAATATATACTTGTATATATAACTTTCTATTGCAACTTTTATTTTGTTGACCTAGCTATTAGATAAAATAGAATATGTCGACCGCAAGCTAGCTAATAGTATTGGACATTTTTTTCTTTTGCACTAGTAATGGATTTCAAGGTCAAGGTAACCTTAGCCTAAACGTTCAAATATTAGGTCATATCTAGATGTCTTTCACAAAATATCAAATATTTTCTCTTTGACAAAAAATTTATTAAATAAAACTTACATGCATGAAATATACAAAAGCAGCCCTGTTGAATTGTGAAATGTGTGGCAGATGAATAGTTTTCTGCAGTAAATATTTTTATACTATTTATAAATTTCAAAGGTTCCTATATGGGTAATTTTTTACCCATGTGTGTAAAATTGATGTAGAAATACAAAAACCGTGTTTGTTTATAAAGTAAGAAAGGAAAAATAAACATAATGATTTGTGGAAATCAAAAACAAGATATTTAATGAATACCTGGATTAATAAATGATAAAATACATTTCTTTCAAATATTCAGCAAAGAAACATGAACACGGGTCTTTTTAGACCCATGTTGCGCATTAGAAGGGTAGTGATACAAAAACGATTTTTATTCGAAAAGTAAGAAAGAAAAAATTTAAATAAGGATTTGTAATGATCTAAAACAAGTTAATTGAGGAATACCTGGAATACTGAATGATGAAATGAATTTTTTGCAAAGATATAGAAAATGAAAACTCAGTCGGGTCTATTTAGACCCATGTTGTGCATCAAAGGGTTAACAGCCTATGCGTCAGATCAAGTCGTAATTTCGATTTAGTTGTCACTCTTTCGATTTTTTTTTAAATCTAATAATTTCGATTTGGTATGTTAAAATTTAATTTTAATGACGTAATTATGACTTTTTATGATAGATTTGTTTTCTTATCTGGCGGGAATGGGGTATGGAAATACATTTGACCCTCACAAGTATAGCCAAGCCTGTACACAATTTAAATTAATAGGATTAGAGAAAAGATAACGAGAAGTAGGTGTGAATTATTTATATATCTTTTCTTTAACGTTTTGTAAAATGTTATTATTTTTCTCTCTGAATAGATTTTTGTACATTTGCAATCTAATTCAGATTAATAAAGGTAGAGGCATGTTTCAACTAGGTAGACAGAACCGTAGATTTTCTGCTCTGTTAGAAATCAAGGAAATAAATTGAGCAAACTGTACAAAGACAGAAACCAAAGAAAAGGCACAAGCCAAATCAATTAATGTACGCTTTTTTTAATTAGACATCTTTATGGCAAATACAGCTTTAAACAATATTTGATACAATAAAAAAAACCTCATGAAGAGTACTTGAAGTTTACTTTATCGTTCATATTAGTCTTTATCCTGTAGACCTGCCCTCCACTAGTAAAAAGAAAAAAAATTAAGTGCACAACCATGGTTTTTTACAGGTTTTTCAAAAGTAAAGTCCAAATAGTGTGATGCATGTTAACACACAAAAAAGAAAACATGACTGAATTCCCCTTGCAACCCCAGTAACTGACTCAGGTCTAACAAGCATGCTTGTATTTTTCCCGGAGAGCAAAAGTCTGGTTGGCAGAGATGTTGGAAGTTGGAACTGTTTGGGGGGGGGGGGGGGGGGGGGGGGGCGCGCTATAAGTCATGCATCTGTTTATCGATTTTTGATTTTAGGTGTTCCTTGTAAGCCAGAATGTCCCTGGTCCATTTTGTGATGGTCTGCTTTTCACAAACCCAGATCTCCTGAGCCACCTGCAAGGAAACACAACAATATTATTAAAATGTAATCAAATGCATTAGCTTGACAAAGAAAACATTACTAACATGTACAACAAGATGGGCAAAAACCTAACTAAAAGCTTCACATTACCTGCTGAATAAGCCTGAAGTCGTGGCTAACCAGCATCATTCCACCCTCAAATTCGTTGATCGCCTCAGCCAGAGCATCAATGGTTTCAATGTCAAGGTGATTGGTCGGCTCATCAAGAAAGAGCATGTGGGGAGTCTGCCAGGCCAGCCAGGCAAAGCAGACACGACACTTCTGCCCATCAGACAGATTCCTAATGGGGCTCACCTAGTTTAATGAAAACAAAAACAGTCTGGGTTTCACAGACTAAAAATCGAAGCAAGTCCAAAAAAACAAACAAAAAAAACCTACCTGCTGTTTGCCAGTGAGTCCATAGCGGCCAATGATTTTCCTCATCTCTTCCTTCTCCTTAATCTCAGGGTAACACTTCATCATGTATTCCAGAGGTGAAAGGTCAAGCTCCAATTGCTCTGTTAGATGCTATAGAAAAAAATCCTGCAGGTTAAATACCATTAAAAATCAGTCTAATGCCACAGAACTAATTATGTGGCAGAATTGAATAATAATAGTTATAATTATTTATTAAAAACTTTAGTCAAATATATATATATATATATATATGCCAACATATTCACTATTTATCATCATGGACAACTATTATATAAAAATGTCATGACAAATGGTCTGAACAGACCTGATGATATCGCCCAATCTTCACATGGGAGTGTTTTCTAATCATACCATCTGAAGGCAGGAGCTGAAAGAAGAGATGATGCCTTACAGACCACGATACTAAAGATTCCAAACCACATAAAATGCATGCAACCCTTGGTATGATTTTAGGTTTACACATAAGTTAAAATATTCCTTACCTCTCCAGCAAGGAGCTTCAGCAAAGTAGATTTGCCAGCCCCATTGGGCCCTACAAGGGCCACCCGTGTGTCCAAGTCAATTCCAAACTCCAGGTTATTATAAATATGCGGCTACATAACGAAAGGAGACATGCGAACACCTCAATCCAGAGAAGGATGCAAACAACAGAAATGGGTGTAAAATGTGTTATTGAAGATTAGATGGTTCTGCGTACCGTATTATCCGAATACCTGAAGCTGACATTCTGAACCATAATGACGGGAGGGGGGATCTTCCCACAGGGAGGAAAATAAAATGACAGGGTCTGAAGAAAAAAAAAAAGTTAATTCTTCTGACTAAACACAGCATTAAAAAGGCAAATGACAGATCAAGACCAAGAGCTCTTTTCTCACCTTGTCATTCACAACACGCTCAGTAAGACCAGAGGCGACCATCTTCTGTAACGTCTTCTCTTTACTCTGAGCTTGTCTGGCCAGCTTGGCAGATCCGTGACCAAACCGAGCAATGTAGTTCTGCGGATCAACAGGACAACATTTAAATAACCACATCAATTACAAGCTGAGCAATTAGAAAAGGGCATAGAAGACTTGAATATTTACAAAAGGTACATATAGAAATCGTTTACCTTCATGTGCGTTATCTGGTCCTGCTCCCAGTTAAACCGCTTCATCTGATTCTCCTCCAGTTCCTCTCTGGTCTTTATATACTGGTCATAATTACCCTTTACACGAGGATGAATGATAAAATAAATTAAATTTCACATTTGCAATTATAGGAAAACAGCTTTACGGGGAAAATAATTAGTCTCTTTACCGTGTAATATTTAAGCTTGCGCTGGTGCAGATGAATAATGTTGGTACAAACGCCATTGAGGAAGTCCTGGGAATGGGATATTAAAACCAGAATTCTTTTAAACCTGTCAGGGGAAAAAGAAACAAACAAACTTGATCATACAGCTCTCAGCATGGTGTTAGCAACAATAACAGAACAATCCATTCCGTAATGTAACGGTTACACTTTATGACAAGGTGTCCATTACAGTGGATTTAAACAGGTATGTAATGAGTTTTATTAACTAACATTAATTTACTATAGAGTTAGGATTAGCTGCTTGTAATTATGCAGAATTTGTTATTACTACAGCAAGTAAATGTAACGTGTAACAAGGACACAGTAAAATAAAGTGTTACCGTAACATCCTCAAAAACAAAACTGCATCTGGGTTGCGCTGACAGATCAGCTAAACGCTTCGGTCTAGTTTTTGTCAAAGCTCTATCCATAACAAGAACAAACTGCTTGATGGAAGAGCTACAATTCGGCCTTTTGTTTACATCATGTCATCAGAAACAACCCATAGTAAAAAAGACAAAATCTAAATAAAAACCATTGGATTTAATATTCTCTCATAGCCTTTTTTTTTAAAAATGAAGACTTACTGGCTGAGCTCTTCCTCCAGCCACACACATGCATCCAAGTCCAGGTGGTTTGTTGGCTCATCCAACAGCAACATGAAAGGCTTGAGGAACAGTGCTCTGAAGATAAAAAAAAAAATAACCACAAATGAACCAAGACTCTGAAGATTGTAGAAATTTGCAAATGCATTCATTGAAAGAGCTAAAGGGATCAGAAAATTCGCTTCGGACTGTTTTTGTCATTGCACAGTTAGCACAAAGCAACTGCGCTATCATTCGGCCTTTTATTACATCATCTCCCAGGAGCTTTGAACTTCGGAAAGAGATTCTGAAGACTCACCGAGCAAGAGCAACACGCATCCTCCAGCCACCGCTGAAGTCTTTGAGTTTCTTCTGCTGCATGGCAGCAGTGAAGCCCAGACCGTGGAGGATCCGCGAGGCCCTCATTTCCGCTTTATCAGCATCCAGTTCCTCCAAACGCTCATACAGCTCCATCAGCTTCTCACATTCAGCTAAAATTTTACAAATTTAAAGTTAAATTCACAAACATTCAAATAAGCATAATAAACACATACGTGTTCCTCAAGGAGATTCCTTAAACACAGTGCAGAATTAAGGAGTCTTCTCCAACTGAGATATTCAATATACCACGCCTAGGAAAGGAAGCCGTTACAAAAACAGTTCCTATGAAAACGTGGAAAGTTGTATTGACCTGACCAATTAACAGATTTGAAAAATGTTCACTATTTATACTCATTACATATTTACCCTCATTGATTCTCACGCATCTTGTGATCAAACAATTGATGTTGAAAAAAGTTGATTGTTTTGAACAAGTAAATGCCCATTTTCATTTCCAGGTGAACTATTCCTTTCAAACTACTCCGTGTGCATTTGATCAGTTGTTGAAACTCACAGTCCTCATGAGCTAGTCGTTCAGCCTCTCTCTCCAGCTGGATCCTCGCCTCATCTACCTCCATCACACACTGCAGAGCGGTCTTCTCACTTGGTGCCATCTCACGGGTCAGGTGGTAGATATCTATGTGCTCTGGAATCGGCACCTCCCTGTGACCAATTGCTGACAGCAGCATTGATTTTCCTAGACGAGTTTAAATTCAAACCAGTTATTTAGGAGCATGTAAATTGAAAACTTCTAAAGCCAACGAGTGGAGATTCATTAGCCTAACATGAACAGATTCTAGTGCATTTACCAGTTCCATTGAGTCCGATAAGGCCATATCGACGGCCAGAGTTGAGCTCCAAACTAGTGTCACTGAGCAGCTCCTGTCCGTGAAAGGTGAGAGACAAGCTGCTGATGTGCACATCAGTGCTGTTGGGATGAGATGCCAACACGCCAGTCACTGCACGGGCCTCAGTTTTCTTCAGCTCAAACTCATCCAGCTCCTTCGTCAAACTGGCAACCCCTAAGATAAAGAGAAAAACAAGATGATTCAAATGGATTTCAAGGAGGAAGATAAACATTTGAAACACTTGGTGGGCCAATGGGTGGGGAAAACTCAGATTTACAAAAGTTTAAAAGGCATGGTTACACAAACACGAATGTTCAACATGAAAATTCAGTCCAATATTCCCATGCGATGTCAGATCAATGTGTAAAAAACGGCAGAACAAAAATGCAAAGTCACCCTCTTACCATAGGTGGCAATTATAGAAAAGCAGAAATATCCTCTTAAAGGTGTAGTCACATTAGCAATTTTTTGGCAAAAATTCATGGACTCAACCGGTGGAAAACTTTTCTCCCTCCCACGAAATTCCCAACGGCATGGATTTCTAATTAATAAAACAGGAACTTGTTCAACAAAAGTATATGTGACTGAAGAAAGCATTATTAATAGTTTTCAAAAGCCCATTCTTTAAGGTTTATCAAATTACACCAAATTCAAGAGTGCAGAGACAATAGACCAATTTTCAGCCGACGTCACAGCGCTAGCTGGTGGCAGAACAAAGGGAAAACTGGAGGCGGCAAATACAAACCAGCACAGATTCGGCTACAAAATAAGGATCTTAAATTCTTCTTATTATTATTAAATGTCATCTTGTTGTGTTGTTGGGTGCAAGAATCAATGAAAAATTAATATGCTTTATCTGCAATTTTTTATTTCTAGAAATATTCACCTCATTAAAATTGCACCGTAATGTCCCTCTTTACATTGTCGTCTTCTCGGCGCTGGCTAGGCAGAACTGCAGATCGTACCACACAAGTCTTGTACATGACCATTCAGCACATAGTTATAGGCATCTAAAGATTTACATGCCCTCCGTTTCTCTATCAGGTAGGTGTAGATGTCAGGCCACTCAACCGGAGGTAACGTTAACCCTGTCAGATCCTCAATGAGTGTACGGGTCGGCCAATCTGGTTCCGTCCGATTAAAATTAACTTTTGCAAATAACAATCGTGGTCCTGGACAGTGAGTGACCTTGCACATTAAGATAAAATCGGATTTTCTCCAGTCATTGTTAAAAACAAGCTAACAAAACTTGCAGACTTTACGTTAGTGAAGCGGCCAGAGGGATCGTTCTGCCACCACTTAAGCTCCGCCCACATAAAAACGTCACCATGTTTACCAACTGAAAATTGGTCTATTATTACAGCAAATATTCAACTTGGTCTGAACAGGCCTTAGAACGGTCTTTTAAAGGCTCCTCTTACCATTGAACTCAGCTGCTCCATTCTGCTGGTCCTCCGGTTTCTCTTCATCACCATCTACTCCATCCTCTGGCTTCTTTGTACGTTGGCGAGCTTTGGCTGCTTCTTTTTTCTTTGCCGCCTTCTTTTTTGCTAAATCGGATGGCATTTTAGCTGCAGATCACAGGAACGGAGCACTTCTGAAAATCTGAGGGAGAGATACAAAAAGATTAGTTGGAGGTTAAGATGCTCTACTAGGACTTAAGAAAAAAAAACATTACAAAGTACACACTGTTCCCAAACGACTTCCGGTTCAATCGACACTCGATTAGTCAATTACGCATATTTTGTGCTTACGGTCTTGTTTTAACAAAACTCCTCTTTTCTCATTTGTATTCTGATGACATTGAACTTATTGTAAATACATTTTGTATATTGTATACAAAGTTGTATACATCATAAACATGTATTCTCTGTATGTTTTGCAAGAAAAATAAAAAGGTTTTGTTTTAACAAACCAAGCTTCAGGCAGCAGAGGGCAGTGGTTCGGCTCGGCTCACGTGGAGTACAGTCGGCCAGTACTTTTCCCTGACGCAGTCTAGGCGTATAACGCCAATGATAAAGTGATACCGGCACAGAAAAAACCTACTACACGAACGATATCGTGAGGAGTTCGGAAAGCATAAATGGCCGATGATATAGCGACATTCCATCGCTGCTGCTCTCAAGAGGAAAAAAGGTGTCGGTTAACTCTAAAGGCCCAACCAATGTGCCACTTCACCAACCATGCTAACTCTAGCCATAACGGTGTATCCCAGATCACGAGAAAAGCTTACTCCCTGGACATAGAACTGCAGTTTGTATTAAAAAAAATGCGATAACATTTGTAAAAGAGGCATCAACCCATAAACAATGTTAAACTGGCTGAGGGGAGCACGCGACTCTCTTGTCCCCACGAGCTAGCCGGCGAGCTAACAGCCGGTAAAACTAGCCTAGTGTTAATCCGAAATATGTCCGGACAAAAAAACAAAATTAGTAAATGAGGTATGATTTTTTTTTTGTAGACATCGATCAACACAGACATAGACAACTACCACGAGTAAATAACGAACTTTTGTTGAATTAGGCCGTAATCTTACCTAGATCTATTCCTGACGAAGCGCTACTAGCAGCACCGGAGAAGCGGTCTCATCTCATGACGCGCGCTACAAGCGGTGTGAGGCGCGTGTCACCAATACCGGCACGGCAGCCAATCAGATGCCGATGCATAATAAATCTCCACCCACTTCTTTGCATAATAACAGAAAAGCCGCTCTCTGATAGCAGTTTTCTTGTAGAATTAATTACTCACTCGTAATCTCTGGTCTGGCCCTGTCTTGTTTCCCGGTTGAGTCACACAAAATGACATAAAATGAGTAATATGTTCAAATAGCAGTTAATGTGAATCATACAGAACGGACAATTACAAGGTTATGCTATTTGCTCATGATTTTTAGATCATTCTGCCAGTATTTACTCGCTCTCATATTTTCCCAATCCCCCATTACTACTAGCATTACTACATCTGTGGAGCAAAAATCATTCAGACTCGTTATATGAATTGGACCAGCTATTCAAATAAAAGAAAAAATCAAAATAATGATCATGATTTTATTAATTTTATTAATCTTCGATCAAAATGTTCAAAAGTTCAAAATGTCCTTTACAGACACACTGCACCTGTATTTAAATAAAATACATAACACAATAAGAATGTATTGTAGAAAGGTAAAGGGTCAATCAATGCCTCTGAATATGAACACCTTTTAACATCCATGTATATACCAGATTTAGTTCTCATCTGTTACACTTGTGCATCAAGCACACCTCAGGCCACAGGAATACAAATGTCATCATTATGTGATGGAATATTCAGTAAAATTAAGTATCCACAAAGATAATGTAACTGTACTTAACCTTTGGTTAATGCTTCCTGTGCATCTCAGTGATTTAGTAAGGCAACAAAGATAAACAAAAAAACATTTCTGAATCATGCTAAAAAAAGAACCCCCTAAAAAACTAAAACATTCGCATGCAACATGCATTATTGTTTTTTTCAACACAACATATTTATAACACATTTTTGTTTTACTGGCATTTAAAGCCTCTGAAAATTAAGACATTTTCAACCATAATTTATAAAGATTGCTTATATGAGAAATCATGTTTAGATTCTTTGACGATTCACAAAAATCTGTATTGTTAAGACAAGTGTTCACAAATCAGAATGATCTAGAAGATTATCGTAGCATGAATCTTTAGTGTTAATTTCCATTTACCGGTATAGAACGTTTCAAATGTATGACAATAAATGTCACTTATTGCAAATAAAGTTAGCTGGCTTATTTGAATCCAGTGGATTTCTTCATGATCTCTTTTTGCAGAGAGTAAATTTAAAGACAGAAAAAAACAGAAGAAAGCTTGATCATATTCAAACGGGTAGAAAAAAAACATGACAGGTTCGATATCTATACTTACATATTAACATTTAGCATATCATTAATGGTTAAATAAATTTCCCAGGTATCAAAGTTTCATTCATTGTATTTTTACCTTTCCAAGAGACACAGTAGCATATCTGCACTTCATGTGCATCACAAAACTGATAAACAATTATAATTGTTTATCAATCGCTGTATTTGTGTGTAGTCAGTGTGAAAGTGTCATTCCCAAGCTACATTCTTAAATTCATTGTACTGTGAGATTATATACATTCAACTGTACAATAAACATACATCAAATAAGAGTACAATTACACTTTTCATTGATTAAAATCAGTCCAAACCTCAATACTGAGAAGGGGGTCTAATATTTTCATGTCCATTAAAAAAAACTGCCAGTGTGGAGACCGCCAGAATAAAAGTGGCCAAGCCACAAGAGAAACAGATTAGTTGAGTTAAGTGGTTCGCAGTGCTAAAGCTTGTTCAAGCTCCTGTCTTCGTTGTTGAATCTATATAACAGAAAAAAACAACAACATACATTTGTAAAAGAATCAAAAGTGATAATTTCACTTGCTCTTTTCAGACATACACTTCCTTTGAAAAGTGAAATATCATTTAAATTTAAAATAACTTTTTTAATTTAACATTTTAAATTGTAGTTTATTCCTGTGACGGCAAAGCTGAATTTTCAGCATCATTACTCCAGTTTTCTATGGAAGCTTGCTTCTGCCACAGAATAAAAAACTTAAAATATAATTGCAACTTTATCTCACAAAAGTTTGACTTTTTTTTCTCAGAATTGCAAGTTTATATCTCGAAATTCTGAGATAAAAACTCACAATTACCTATTTATTCAGTGGCGGAAACAACCATCGTCTTTAGTGTCACGTTATCCTTCAGAAATCATTCTAATATGCTGATTTGCTGTTCAAGAAAAAATTATAACTATTATCAATGTTGAAAACAGTTGTCTGGCTAAATATTTTTGCAGAAACCATTATAATTGTTTTAGGATTATTTGATAAATAGAAAGTATAAAAAGAAATCTTACTGAACCCAAACTTTTGTATCTAACATGATTCAGTCATGTTCCCCTCACCTTGCAATAGAAGTAGCGACTGACAGCTTCCTGAGACCAGGGCTGGTTATAAAACTCTGCTCTCCTCTCTTCCTCTGGATTACCAGCTGTATCGGTCATCAGCTGCAACCAAAAAAAAAAAAAAAAAAAAAATCCAGTCCAGTTCAAAACGACAAAAAAGACCATTTCTTTAAAAGCCGTTACATTCTTTCCACCACTAGGTGTAGACATTGTTTAAAAAAATGTTCAATGTTTAACTTATACAAACCAAATTTAGACATGCATAAAGGCTATATTAATGTTTTGATATTTGATATAATAGTACAGTATATGACCATGATTTAGAGTAGTACACATGGTTAACATTCACCTTAAGATCCCGGTTCTGGGAGCAGATCCAGTCCTGGATGTAGCCTTTGGGGTCTCTGGAGAAGCTGAGCATGAAATCCCTCTGGATCTTAAGTTGGTTGATGGACTCAATAGTTTCGTGAATCTAAAGGAGAGAAGGTGATTATGTGAATTTAAACTATGAATGCACATATGTTATGCAGAAACCCATGATGCCATAGGATTTATATGGAGTTAAATAAAACAACATAATGAGTATATTGAAATGATGAATTATGAATGATGAATTATTATTTATCTCGATCTCGTTATTTAGCTTCTTTCGTTATTCCTTCTGACCTTGTTGTCTAGGGATGCAATCTCTTGTTGATTGGCTGTGGACAGCAAGAATCCGTTCATCTGACTCTTAAGAGGATCATCAACTTCAACATCAATGTCATAGCAGGCTGTCTTCTTCTGGTCATTTGGATCCACACTGATAAAATTAAAATCAAAAAGACATTTAAAGGAACAGTTCACCTGAATATAAAAATTCTGTCATTAGTTACTCACTCGTATGCCATTTTAAAGCTATTTGCTGTTGTTTTTTCAAGTGTAACAATAATACATGACAACTTGTAATGTTTTTTGTCCTTTTTGGAGCCTCACACAATGAACTTTTTCAAAACCTCACAAAAAAAACAATTTTAAGAATCTTTAAAAAAAATGTTTTTTTTCTTTTACAGTATTCCATAAAAAAAATAACAGCATACAGTTTGGAACAATATGAGGGTGTGTGTGGGGGGGGGGGGGGGGGATTTATTATCCCTTTAAATTCTAAAGGAAATCAGCCCTCTAAAAAGTACATTTGTGTCACAGACCTTAAAACTGCTATTGTTTGAGGAAACAATAAATGGAAATACATTGTACATTTTTGACTAATTACCTAATAATATGATTGATGACAATAGGATCAGGCGGCAGCAGCAGGTTGGTTAGTCGCTGAGGGATCTCACAGAACTTTAGACGAGGACAGTCGAAGATCTGGAAGAAAAAAAAAAAAAATCAGGTATGCTTATCAGGCAAAATGTTAACACCTAAATGAGTATTTTAGGTATTTTATATGACAAAAGTATGTCAGTGCCTGCTGGAAATATTTATCACAGTTGATGTACTCCTTTTCATGAGGATCCTGCAGCTTGTTGGTTTTGACGTACTGCCATAATGCCTGGATGATGCAGGAGCGGGTTTGAGTGTGGATGCCAAGGAGACGTGCGAGGCGAGGATCCAACTTAAACTGAGGAGGCTGAAATGCACAATGGATAAACGAAATGAAATAAACGCATTCAGAAATATCTGAACAGAGCGATACAGTTATAAAACATGAACATGTTTACTACATTATCCCTTCTACAATTTCAATTCAGTATCCTTGAGTAGCTGACAAAACATGTCCATTCACTATTCAACAGCAAGATTTTAGGTTAAAATTTACGCTACTGTTAAAAAATTTGGGATCAGTAAGACTTTAAGAAATGTATATTCTATTCAGCAAGGATGCATTAAAATGGATGCTGTTCTTTTGACCTTTCTATTCATCAAAGAATCACAGTTTTTAACATTGATAATAACAAGAAATGTTTTTTAACATTGATAATGACAACGATGTTGCTTGAGCACAAAATCAGAATGATTTCTTAACGATCATGTGACACTAAAGACGATGCTGAAAATAGAGATTTGCCATCACAAGAATAAATAACATTTTTAAATAAATTAAATGAAAAATGTTTCAATTGAATTAAATTATTTTAAATTGCAATAATGTTTCACAACACAATGTTTTTTTACTTATTTCAAAAACAAACTTTTGAAAGGTAGTGTATACAACATATAACGTGTACATCTTAGCTGCTGTAAACAATTTATTTTATAATGACTTCACACGTTCATTTAAATTCTTCTGTGGTGCGACAAAATAATTTAAAACAATACAAATATTCCATTTAAAAATGATCATCTCACAAAAACTTAATGTATAATTGTAAAAGATTCAAGAAAAATTTAAACTAGTTTTAGATAATGATTATAGCGCGTGGTTCAGCTAGAAACAGGAAATGTCATGCTAACGACCCAATTGCAAATCTGTTTCAGTCTCTTTTTCACGATTTTAAACTCCATTGTTTAAAAACATAGCTTTAGTCTTCTAACAGATTGAGCTTCTTCCCATCAGGATGTAGTTAGCAAAGTGAAAATTGCTGTAATTAAATGAGCCATTTACTCACTAGCCACAGTATAGCTACTTTAGTGAATAGAGAAGGGCAATCAAACTTTGAGGGATTAATGACTCAACTATAGGTGTTAACAGTGCTTTTTAAGATGGAAAAGACCAACTAAAGCTATCATTATGCAGATTCATTTCTAACTGGTGTCTTTCTCAATACATTTATTTGGTGCTACACATTTTTGCAAAATAATTGCTACAATAACTTTTATGTTTAAAAAAAATCAATCTTTATTTTAAGGTTTAAATTAGACTTTGAATCCCAGATTTTCAGCATGGCCTCAGACTTTTAGACCCCAGTGTAGATTTTTCACATAGTTATTATTTAAAGACTTTAAAAGACACATAAAACCAACTACGGCATACGAATAGTCTAGTAATAATCCAGCATGCACGCACCTGGTAATCCAGCATAAGCAAGAGGGTACAGCGCACATTCACATCGCCGGGCCTCTTCACCTGGAAGCCATCGGTCTCCTGGGTTGTAGCGGTGCGGTGCCACTGTTAGGATTAAACACATACTAAATCTAAACAAAAGGTCTATAATATATAACTGCGGCACAAGATCTGCACTGCAATTTTAAGCTCGATTTTTATATCAGTGGTGTTCGTCTGTGTTGAGGGTGTTTTGCAAGGCCATGCAGTTGCTAAGATGTTCTTAGTGGTTGTTAGTGTGTTGCTATGGTGTTCAGAGTGATTTTTTAGCAGGTTGCTATGCAATTGCTAGTTGGTTTCTAGAGTATTCTGGGTGGTTTTAGGTAGTCTCTATGATAGTCTTGTTACTAGATATGACTGGGTCCTTTCTTTAATGTTTTCTTCAGTCAGTGGGATTTTTGCCCATTTTATTGCCCACAAGACGATAATTGTAAATCTGACTTTTCTTAAAGCTGCAGTCCGTATCTTTTCCTCTTTGTCGCCATCTCTCTGTTCGAAATCTGTAACTGCAGTGATTCGCGGAATTATCATCTTTACGTGGGTTGTAAATCGGCATGAAACAGCGCGGATGAACACAGTGCTTTGAGGCGAGTGCTGCTGTCAGTCACCGCGCTGTGTGGATACTGTCATACAGAATCACAGATTCACTTTTTGAAAGTTTGACCAACATAAGAATTTTCATAAGAAAATGTCTTCTGAACAAGTAAGTCAAATCCATTTTTGTTCTGACCAACTAAGGGGGAAAAAGCATTCGACATGATAAGCTTCGTTAGATTTAACCAACGCGATTTACAGCAACCGTGCAAATTATAGCCTACTTTGTTCTCAAATTGTTCATGTCGGCTAGCCGAAACTCCTTCTTTATGTGTACGGGTGTGACGTCATGACGCAAAGACATGCTCGAATTTCCCGCGGAAACCCACCAGTACCACTGGAATTAAAATCATTATTACAAGCTAACAGTTTTAAATCTAGCTATGGCAAGCAGATAGTTTTGACCACTGCCAGAATAAGTTTTTTTAAATATATAATTATTTTGGATTTAAATCCATTGGATTTGGATTATTTTGGATTATTTTTAACTTAAAAAAGTTACGGACTGGAGCTTTAATAAGCAGAGCTACACACCCAAAATTAAAGGGATAGTTCACCCAAAAATGAAAATTATCCGATAAATTACTTGCCCTGAAGCCATAGGTGTATATGACTTTCTTCTTTCAGCCGAACACAATCAGAGTTAATATTAAATAATATCCTGGCTCTTCCCAGATTTGTAATGACATTTGAAGCTCAAAAAAGCGCATCCATCCATCATAAAAGTAATCCATACGACTGCAGTGGGTTAATAAATGGTTTTTGTAAGAAAAATATCTACACTATTCAATGTTATTACAAAGCTGGGAAGAGCCCGGATATTATAATAGAACTCTGTGTTCGGCTGAAAGTAGAAAGTCATATTTTATAATGTACATATCATTTTTGGGTGAACTATTCCTTTAATATTTATGGTTATGCGTTTGTTCAAATCTGCAACCTTGATTACGAGTGAGTGTTTCACCAGTAATAACTTGCCAGTACATTATTATTGAGTCACATAAGCCATTGAAAACCTTTACAACCCCCCCTCCCTCCTTATGCACTGTTTATGCACGCAGAATACATTTAAGCTTGTGAGTGAATAAAATGATTAGGCACTTTATGAGATCTCACTTGCATTTTCTGCTATTTGAAAGACAACATAATGGCAAGGACTCACAGCTCAACTCAATTAGCTTTGCTTGACATTGGAGGTGTTTTCAATGCCGTCATTCTACACAGGTAAATCACTCTTTTTATCGCCCGACTCAATCTGGTGTGTTGTGATGAAAACCCAGTCACCAAGGACAATTTAAAGAGCTTCCGAATGAATAAACTCAAATGCGTTGCTTACAGCCAGTTCCAATAGGCCGGAGGCACGAGGGTCACTCCTCGAGAGCCACAGACCACTTCTGTGAATATGCCTTCCCTAAACCTGAATGTCCCTATCAAAGTGCATATAAATATTAATTGCGTGAGGCAGCTGGGACAGTTCCCTTGTGTAATGTAAATGCCTGAGTGTGTCTGAATAGCACCTATGCACAATGGTTCCTCCACTAAAATAGAGCAAAACACACTTGCTGAATACAAAGCCTCTCAGAGTTCAGGGTGCTGTAAAAGGTTTTTTAAGTGTTTGTCTTCAGAAATGCATTTCCTTTCTCCCCTTAATGCTGCCCAAAACTCTGTGCTGGCTGCAGTGTCATCACTCCACAGTGTCATGGGCAACTTCCTCATGTAACCTGTTGCTATGGAAACCACTAAGACATGTCTTACATAAACTTTTCATTATGACATTGACTTTTCTATTGCATTCCAATTCAATACGTCACACAGTAGAGGACAAGAGATGCTCGTGGACACATTGAAATGTGACGATTTCACCCTGTGTTACTGTCCTCAACCTTGTTTGAAGTGTAAAGAAGACTCTTGGTATTCTCCCATATTACAGTTGTGGTCAGTGGGGGATTAAGACTCTTTGGTGGGTTCTGACGTCAAACCAACTTTCATTTTCAACCAAAGAAACGCAAAACACGCGAAACCGTTTTCAGAAGTTTAGCTTCACACTCGAGCTTAAAGCTCAACTTCTAGTGGAATTGACCCTTCGCAGGGAGTTTAATTGACAGGCGATCTGACCAACAGTACAAGGCCATTTTTGTCCAACAAAGCAGTCAGGAGAGTTAGTAGATTAACGTTGGAGGATTTGAACTTGAAAAACGGAGTGTACTGACGTCTTTTTCCGCAGTTTCTGTCAGCACGTTATCAGTGTCCTCTCTGCTCTGTGATGTATTTTACACTGTGTGAGAACATGGTGTGTGGTGTGAGAGCGGCGTGGCTTGTCGGACATAGCAACAGTAACTAAAGGGGGCGGGTCTTTGCGAATTGAAAACACTCGCTCTGCTCTGTGCCAGTGGACATGCTAGTGTAATATGGGCGTTGAAATGAAACGCGCATGCTCACGCAGTAGGCCTAGTGTGAATCTGACAGTAGATCGTGCGTCCACAAAAAAAAAAAAAAAATAATAATAGAATTGCATAGATTAGTTGAGTCTTGGGGTCAGAAAATCACCCGATTTGCAGCATCTTAGTCTCACAAGATTAGTTTTACGATACATGTATGTAAATGAATTGTTACCTCCGATGTTATCTGTAATGCTTATGGTCTTTTTAGAGAGGATAAGTCATATATTGAAATCGTTAATGTGGGTGTGTCTACTGCATACTTCCGACAAAGGTAACCTATGGAAGGTCAAAGGTAACCTAACACAAAAATGTATTTCTTTATACGTAATTATGGAGAAAATATTAACCATGAACATACACTCACCGGCCACTTTATTAGGTACACCTGTCCAACTGCTCGTTAACACTTAATTTCTAAGCAGCCAATCACATGGCGGCAACTCAGTGCATTTAGGCATGTAGACATGGTCAAGACAATCTCCTGCAGTTCAAACCGAGCATCAGTATGGGGAAGAAAGTTGATTTGAGTGACTTTGAACGTGGCATGATTGTTGGTGCCAGAAGGGCTGGTCTGAGTATTTCAGAAACTGCTAATCTACTGGGATTTTCACGCACAACCATCTCTAGGGTTTACAGAGAATGGTCCGAAAAAGAAAAAACATCCAGTGAGCGGCAGTTCTGTGGGCGGAAATGCCTTGTTGATGCCAGAGGTCAGAGGAGAATGGCCAGACTGGTTCGAGCTGATAGAAGGGCAACAGTGACTGAAATAACCACTCGTTACAACCGAGGTATGCAGCAAAGCATTTGTGAAGCCACAACACGCACAACCTTGAGGCGGATGGGCTACAACAGCAGAAGACTCCACCGGGGACCACTCATCTCCACTACAAATAGGAAAAAGAGGCTACAATTTGCAAGAGCTCACCAAAATTGAACAGTTGAAGACTGGAAAAATGTTGCCTGGTCTGATGAGTCTCGATTTCTGTTGAGACATTCAGATGTTAGAGTCAGAATTTGGCGTAAACAGAATGAGAACATGGAACCATCATGCCTTGTTACCACTGTGCAGGCTGGTGGTGGTGGTGTAATGGTGTGGGGGATGTTTTCCTGGCACACTTTAGGCCCCTTAGTGCCAATTGGGCATCGTTTAAATGCCACGGCCTACCTGAGCATTGTTTCTGACCATGTCCATCCCTTTATGGCCACCATGTACCCATCCTCTGATGGCTACTTCCACCATGTCACAAAGCTCTAATCATTTCAAATTGGTTTCTTGAACATGACAATGAGTTCACTGTACTAAAATGGCCTCCACAGTCACCAGATCTCAACCCAATAGAGCATCTTTGGGATGTGGTGGAACGGGAGATTCGCATCATGGATGTGCAGCCGACAAATCTGCGGCAACTGTGTGATGCCATCATGTCAATATGGACCAAACTCCCTGAGGAATGCTTCCAGCACCTTGTTGAATCTATGCCACGAAGAATTGAGGCAGTTCTGAAGGCAAAAGGGGGTCCAACCCGTTACTAGCATGGGGTACCTAATAAAGTGGCCGGTGAGTGTATATCGGTGTTTAGTTGCAGAAACTGATTCGAAAAGCCTAAACAATAAATATTAATACAAGCCACTGTTACTATATTGCACTATATTGTATTCAAATTCAAAGTTTACCATGCATCATCTTGGAAATAAAGCAGTCTGCGTTATTTGTCTGAATAAGTTATGATGATGCGTGTATTCTATTTCCTGATTGAGCAACATATTTCAGACTCTTAGAGACAGCGCAAATTCTATGGCGTTTTACTAGAATTACAGTTTCCATATGAAGAAAGTGTTATGTATATGTTGTTGAATTAATTATTAATTTAACCATTGTTTAAATCATTAACTTCTACGAAATGCATGGTGTTAACGAAATCATTGTTGAAACAGCCTACTATATGAATAAAAACAATACTACAACACAACATAAATACATACACAACAGTACAAGGCTATTTTAGATTACAAGGCATTAATCTTTATTCCGATTTTAGAGTGTACACTTTGACATTTGTAATACATATGCTGAAGTGTCTTGTCCGCCCGCAGAGCTGATGTTCACTACTGTAATGATTATGAACGCAACTTTTTAATAAGCAGGGGAAATTCCCGACTTTAAACAAATAACCATTTACATGTTTAGGACGTTTGTGTTGTAAGACTGTACAGGGAGACTTCAGATATAAAACCGATGTGTCATTAGGCAATGTTTTCTCAGTGAAATCATTTAATATCCTATTAATTCAATAGAACGCGTGAGCTTAAAAGGGAATACCAATACGGCGGCATGGTGGCTTACATTTTTATGATGTCATGAGCAATACAGTTCTCTATATAGATCAGTGTTTACCCTGAAAGATCAAAAGGATAAACAATGCAGATTTATTTTTACAGCCATCTTTGATCATATTTACCAGGGGTGCCAATAATTCTGACCACAACTGTAAATGCTTTCAACTTTTGTTAAGACTGAATACCAAATATGGTTCAGCAATGGTTTATCGTCGTATCGTATGTCAAGTGAGTTAATGCTCACCTCCACTAAGTGGTTGTCAGGGCCGTATAGATCCTTGTCCAGCTCAATAACAAGGCTCTTAAAGAAAGACGAAAACTTCCTCTTTTGTTTTCCCGGCTAAAGTGCACAGGGAATAAAAGATAAAAAATTAAAGGGACTTAAAAGGGACTAGCAAATTGAATGAAGCCTAAACAAAGATTAGCATCAGCAGAATAATAGCCTATCTCCAAAAAAAACCCATTCAATTAACATAATTCAATTGTTCCATGCAATTAAATTAAGTCTTTTCAAGAAAATGTTTTTATTTGAATAGATTTGTACTAGTCTACAAGCTTAAATACATTTTATTATGTATGCTAGATGCAATAAAAAGACTCAATTGGATTCGGTTATGGTCAATGAAAATTATTCATGCATGGATTAAATAGCAACTGATTGCACGCAATGAAATTAAGTTGTGACAAAATGGTAAGGAATTGTTACATTTGCTCATTTTAATTAAACTGAACAAGCAGCAAAAAATATATTTTTCTGACTAACATTTAAAATAATGATAACAATGATCATTCAAGACAAATTAATTCAACCCTGCATTATAGAACAGATGGTAAGATTATGAATGCAAACTCAGTGCTTACATCATCCAACAACTTGCCCTCTACACGCAGCTCCCAGGATGCAATGCTGCCCTCCGAGTCTTCTGCGTCAGGTTTGGCAGGGTTGTAAGTGTTTGAAATGTACAATCGCAGCTTCCGCTTTTGCTAGAACAGAAGAGCACATTTTTCATGTCGTCGTTAACTATGAGTTAGTAAAATCTCACTATAAATGTGTAATTTAACTGAAATCACATACCTTCATTGGTCTTTTGAGGGCTTCCTGTATATCCACCCTCTTCCTCATAATGGTTTGGTCAAGTTTGCGCTCAAAGGCCAGGAGGTCCATGTATGCCTGGGACTCTGGCACCAGTTCACGGATCTAATGAAAAGGCATTCAATGCATCACTCATTTTAAACGTTTTCTAAGCAGTTTGATGTTATTCAACACATAAAGTGCATGGTATACTACAATATTTCCCCTGAACCATTAACTCTCTGGTTTGTTATAAATATCAGTTATGACTGAAGATGTGGCACTAAAGCTTCGGGCAGTGGTTTTCGGCTGGTTTTGTTTCAGGTCTGTTAAGTGGAAACTCAAAACAGTATCAAATTGTTTTTTTATTGTGCACCAATATAACAAAAAAAAACATGGGTATATTATTTATATATAATAATATTAAAACGTGTTTTGGAGAAAAACATATTTCATAATGTGATTTCCCCCCCACTTTCAATTCTTTTACTTCAATGAAAGGTTAGATTTTTGGCAATTTTTTGAATGAAAGATCAAAGGGTAAACGATACAGATTTATTTTTTACAGCCAGTTTTGATCATATTTACCAGGGCAGGGGTGCCATTAATTCTGAGCACGACTGTATTAATGTATTTTTATGCATTTAAAAATGATTATAAACAATATTTACTAATTTATAATAAAATGATAACATTACATTATAACATTATTGTATTAACCCTCTACTCCACGGTGTTGCCATATGGCAACATATCCTTTCTTTGGACATTTCTTGAAATTTGAAAATAAATATGAGCTCTGATTAATCTTAAATTCATGGTAGAACCTGGTGGTAACCAATGATATGCTTTGATGACATCACGACACTACACACACCCTTGCAACGTCATTCTTTTCACACACTTTTGATGACTCCAGCTGCTGAAAAAGTGCTCGTGTATATGTGAAGATTTTCCTAAATTTTTTCATATTTCTTCTGAATAAAAAATACATCAAGCATCTGGGGTAAGTTCTAATCTTTTTTCAATCATTGTCACATTGTTTTGATACTTATATTACCTTTTTATTTAATAAAATAGGTATGTTGCCATATGGCAACATTGTGCGGTAATGGAACAATATTTTGCCCATGCTAATGCAGAGTAGCTTTGTATGAATGACAATGTATGGATGCACTGATATAGTTGGATGGTTGTATTCTCCTCATATATTTATATATATTTGTATATATTTATAAAGTAAAGTAAAAGTAAAGTATAAAAGTAAAATATATATCCGTCTTGACCGCTTTGATCACTGGCCAGAGATGGGTGCACCAAAAGGAAGGTGCAAGAATCCTGGCTGCAAGGGCATCGTCAGAGGGGTTTGCTCTAAGTGCAAGGTGCAGCTCTGCCTTAAAGGTGGGGTATGTGATTTGCAAAACGGCCGGCAGATTTTGAAAATACACAACTCAAAAGGTCCTACCTTCTTTCCTCCAACGCTGGCCCTGACTCCACCCACTCGAAGAGGGGCATGGGGGAGGGGGGTATGGTACGACTGTTTGATTGACGCACTTACTGTCCAATGATTCTAGGTGATCTTGGAAATGATTGGCTGGAGTTTTTCGAGTCCTGCCCGTTCCACAGATGATTACATTTTTTAATTTTCATGTCAGTGCTTCTAACTCAGTGGCTGTAAGTGGGTTAAGAATAGGATTTCAAGTGATTTAGAAAAAAAAATAAAAAAAGAAAATCACATACCCCACCTTTAACGGAGAGAACAACTGTTTTAAAGTAGAACTCCGGTCAATTTTAACATTGAGCTCATTTTTTTGTACATTTGGAGTGCTGTCAGTACAGACAAAAACGACAAAAATCGGTGTTGCCTACACCGTGTTATCCTCTTTTTAAAATTCACACCCTGTTGACTTCAATGGGGCAAGTTCTAAACCTGCTTTTAGCCTCTTAACAACCTTAATATGTCATTACAAGTGCACAGCCATGTGAGTGGTGTTATTAAGAGTGACCACGGTCAATCTGACTGCAGTAGATGTGCAAGATATTATTAAAAATGATGTTAATTCAGCCAGCTCTCATACCTGTATTTACTTCCTGTTTTCGTTCGAAGTCCACAGTAGTCAATTGTCGAGTTCGCGCGCGCGATCATTAGTTATATTAGTTACTAATGATCGCGCACAACGCACCCAAAAGTACCCCCCCCCCCCCCCCCCCAAAAAAAAAGAACTGTTGAGTCTATTTTATATATTTAAAAAAACTGTACATTTTTTTTCCATGATTGCATAATAATGCGTGCAGTAGAGGGTTAATAGAATTATTGTATAAATATGGTATATGCAAAATTATTAACAAAGTTGGCAATTGAAAATTTTGGTTTGACTTTCAATGGTTTCATGCTCTTAGCAGACAAAAACCCACTGCCTAAAACACATTTTATCCTCAATTGAACTCAATTTTAGTGTAATTTTTTTCTTACCTTAGAATGAGGAAATGATTTAAGGTAAAACTCCATAAGTATTATGAAAAGAGTAATTATTCATATCCTGATTCTGACAATACACGTCTATATTTATTCAAATTCTAGGCCTATATTAAAGCCTAGAAAGAATCTAGGCTTATCAGTTATAAGAATCAGTTATTCTTTGTGAACTGAGCGAACATCAAACGATTAAGATTTCACCATGCGTTTGCACCACTTTACTAAGTCAATGACAGTTTAACATTCTGATTCTCATTTGAAACAAATCATGTATGTCCTTGCGTGATACACAGCAAAATTGTAACTTGACTCTCTCCTGATTTTCACAGCGTTGCATCATTCTCTCCATCCCATGTGACCACCAGTCTTTTACAAACCCCATCACAATGAATTAAGACCTTTTGTTTTGCCTGTAAAAAGCCCTACAAAAAGACATTAGGAGGATTGCCCATTTCAAGAACTACCACCACCTCCAATTCATGTTATTGTGGCGTATTACTGTGTCTCATCCCGATGGAGACATTTTACCTAAATAGTCGTGTTTCTGCACACAGCCTTCTCCATGCAACCACAGACCGTCACATTCCTTAGGGAATCAAACCCTTTTCTACTGACAGAAAACACCAAATACACAAGAGAAGTCTTTGTGACAAATTGGACTCATCTTACCCACCCCTTTCACTTTTTTTACCCCCGGGAAAAAATTAAGAACCCAGCACAATTACCTGTACCGTGCGATCACTCTTGACTTGGCACTGAAAATTAAGAGATGAATAAACAAACACAGACAAACAGATAAAAGCAGCAGTGATGGAGCTCACCCTCTGAGGGAGAATCTTGTCTGCCATTTTTCTTCTCTTGGCACTACGGATGGGGGAAAACAGAGAGAAAGAAAGAAAGAAAGAAAGAAGAGAGAGAGAGAGAGAGAGAGAGAGAGAGAGAGAGAGAGAGAGAGAGAGAGAGAGAGAGAGAGAGAGCATGTTACTATGGTGACTGATAGCAGAGTCCACAGGCCATCTGCTGAATAACTGGGACCTATCCAGACGTTTTTCCAGCTGTGTGTGTGTTTGTGTGTAAGTGTGTGTGATCAGAAAGAGAGCGAAAGAGAGAGAGTATAAGTACTATATAAGTACGTTATATATACTAATTATCATAAATAACTAAAGATCATAATTGTGGGAGAGGTTTCTTGCTGCTTTAACATCTGGCTGTCTCAGTTATTGTAAAAGGGACATATTTCACACAGGACACGTTCTTGCATTCAAAAATGTAACAGAAAGTCTCGAAATATCTTCATTCATGTCACAAGATGCTGAAAGAACAGCGAGACATGACGGAAAAGTCAAATGCACCCCTCTTGGCTTTGTTAACACCATAAAAATGTTTGTCATTTTTACAGAAAGGGACTATAAAATACTAGAGGAAAACCTATGAACTTTTTAACTGCAAGTTACCTTACCATATACAGTTAAAAAGTGTAAATGGTTTAATGTCGCATTATATGTCATTTTACTGTAAACCTGTCAAGATTATGATTTTTTTCATGTTACCATATAATTTACTGGGAAAAACAGTAAGAGGACATTCCCAGAAGTCCCTAAGTGACATCCCATCTGATTATATTTTATTAAAATGTTTATTAGTAACGTACATTACAGTGATTTGTGTCACAATTGATGTAACTTAGTTAATATTTCTTGCATTATTTTATTGTCATATGTGTTACCCTGATAGTGTTTTGTCTTTGTGTGTATGAACCTGTGCACTGTATTTTCAAATAACTCTGATGCATCATGTGGCTCTCTGTTTTACTACTTGTAATTATGGTGGGTATTACTTGAGGTAAAAAGCAGATTTTGGTATCACTTAGGGTGTGTTCACACTTGTAGTTCGATTCACTTGGTTCGTGACCAAAAAAAACAAGCATGTAGTCCTGGTCCGCTTAGCGTTCACATTGGCATTTTTAATAGCGAACCTAAAGGTACAGGGAACCTGATTGGTCAGCTTTTATGACGTATTGCCTATTTTGAGATTGAACTTGCCTTACATCCAAAGCAATGCTGTGTGCTGGGATAAATGCGCTCGTTGTATGTGCGTAGCCTACATTTGATGGTATTTTGACCAGCTGAGAACTTGTGAAGAGCTTATAAAATGTGTAAAGGAGTCAAAACAGCAGCGGGAATCCCTCCATCACACACACAAACGAAGATCTGCTGCAAAGATACACAGCTCTAAAGCCTGTACCAAACTGTGACGGGAAACATCGCGAAAATGACGAGAAAAAACAGGTATGCTATGCTAGAGCATTCTTAACTCTGGTGTGATTGCTCTGTTAGTGTGGTCCATTTGAATAACACATGAAATCTATGTCATCTTGTAGTACTGGAAACATTGTCACAGTGGATTTCGGGCAAATACAGCTGCCATTTTTTTTTTACTGTAAATTTAATGAGATACTTTTTTACAGTGTAGAAAAACAGTTAAAAAACAGTGCAGATCAACAGAAGAACATGTCCTGTGTGAGCAGTCCATAACATTCGGGAATTTGCACAAAATCTGGAGTCGCATTCAATTGCCGTTTACAGAAAGATGTTCCCAAACAAGATGCATATAATTCGTTAAAGTTTTTCCACTGAGAGACATGCCACACTCTCCTACGGACACCGAGAGCTCCTCAGGTCCAGAGCCGAGGAGCACGACTCCTTTGGAGCAGGAAATGCCTGTCCACATTCACATCCACATTCCTCTGGAGAATAAACTTTCTCATGGTCCGACTCGTCCACCCCAAGCCACACTGCTCCTCCGGGAGAGGCTGAGAAGCGGAGACCGAGATGCAGTGGGGGGTATGAGAGTGAATGCCTCATCACATTTTCTTGATCTACAATTAATGATTAATGCATTTAGGTGGAAAAAAATGTGTGTTACTGAACGTAGGGCAACAATAAGGGAGAGAAAATTCTGAATTAACACAAACAGCATGACTTGCAGTCGTGCAGTCCGCATTCACAGCTAAAGAACCGCAAGCGCATCGCATGTTCTACTTCACATGCACTGGAACAGGACATTCATCCTCAGGTCATGTTGACTATTGTGTCCATTTAGTGAAAGTTTTTTTTATATTGCTTTTTACTTTAATCTGTTACCTTAAGTGCACACATGCATCGGGGGGAAATATGTCAAGTTTGATGCTTCAAACGGGAACAAACCAATCAGGCAGCAACATGTCCATCACAAACTGTCAAACTAACATGCAGCAGAATAAACAGCCTACTTGGATCCAATTGCAGGATCTGACTGGGCTTCTCTCATGTCCATCTGTCTCGCGGATATCTCATTTGTTGCTGGAAATCCAAGTGGTTTCCTATAGGTTGATTTGGGGTACCTCTAGTTAGTTACTTAAACAGTAGAGATGCATTATAGATGGAATAATATTGGCCGATATTAAGAGTTTTTTTTCCGGTAACAGTCACTATTGTACACGTGTATATATATATATATATATATATATATATATATATATTATACACAATATCTGACTATATTCAAAGGTTTCAGTTGAGATTTTTTTTAATTAATGCAAATTAAAGCTGCCGTCGGCAACATTTTTTTTATCATATTCAGTGAAATCGACACTATAATCTGACAGAACAACATAAATAAAGTGGTTTTAGAAAAAAACCCGAGCTTCTAACTCCACCTGGAGCGTGTTATTTGTTTTGCAAAAATCCTCAGCTCCCGGTTCATCATGTCCAATCAGCGCAGGGGGGTGTGAGATCTGACTGTCAATCACAGATCGGCCACACGCCACCCCTCGCGCACGTTACAATCACATGCACACGCCTGAAGTTCGCGCAGTAACGAAGAGTGATGGCGGAAAATCAAGTACGCTCATTTAGAGTATAAATGACGTTAGCAATTGCAATCTATCGGTAGATTAGCCAGGACAGCATACCTCCAAATACTCCATGGTGTTGATGGATGCTGATGAGACGGGCGCGTTCCAGGGCTCTCAAGTTTTGAAGACAGGTAAGAGTGACACCCAGCCGACGGGGGGTTGGATACATTTTTGTCATTGGTTGTTGCGTTAAATCTTACCCAGATACAATAGTGCTATTTTCTGATTGGCTATTGTGTAGCTCGACGAACAACACCAGAGGAAACACGCTTGATTCATGCCGGTTCCATAGTGAGAGCGGCGCGGCCAGAGTTTTGGGCGCTGCGGCATATTAAATATATTTCAAATAGTTTTTCAGCGTGAGAAATACAATGTGTGGCGGGAGAGCGTGACAAAAGACCGAAATGAGTGACTGTCACGCTCAATGCGTGACACTTGAGAGTCCTGGCGTTCACTGAAAATCTGGTGCACACGCACTGACGAGCATGAACTGGGTGGGAGGGTATCCGTTGATAGTGGGGGAGGGGCATGAGAGTTGTAAACATTCAAAATTTTCCTAAATCCACTCAATCTGCCAGACTTGCCGACTGGAGCTTTAATGCAATAATATATTAAATTGATCCAAAGTGACAGTAAAGACACTTTTAATGCTACAAAAAAATCTATTTTAAATAAATGCTGTTTATTAAACTTTCTGTTGATAGAATAATATAATCCTGAAAAAAAATCATCAAACATAATCACAAAAATATTAAGCAACACAACAGGTTTTCAATATAAGAAATGTTTCTTGAGCTTTAACTCAGCATTTTAGAATGATTTTTTAACAGTATTTTTGCTCAAATGAATGCAGCCTTGATGAACTTAATAAGACTTATTTTATTTTTACTGAAAATGTAATCTTTAAAGCCACTAATAATTTAATAAGGAGAACATTTTTATCTTTATTTAAATATTTTGTGAATTAATACCCATTACAATCCATTTTTCATACCGTATGCTATAATGTTTTGATGCCTCACATATAGCATTGTAATTTTTTATTAATTTTATTTATTTATTTAGACAAAATAGTATAGATATATTTATATACTTAAGGGCCATTTATCGGTTAACAACCATAACATTAAAATAATTAGAAGCTTCTCTGTATCCATCAGGATATATGTGCATCCCTATTAAATAGTATTGCAAGCTGATGCAACTAGCTCAGAATGCATTAGGATTAATGTTTTGTATTTTCATAATCAAAGTCTAACATTTGTTAAACCATTCGAATTTTAAACATGATCTGCTGAATTTAGTAAGCTCCCCATTAGTGATCACAACAGACACCCTTACAAGCATAAACAGTTGAAATAAAAACACAAGGACAATTACAGTACAGCAACAAGACAGATGAAAAGATGAGAAAACTAACAGCAAATTCCAAACGTCACTTTTATGCCCTTGGGAAGGGAATGCTATTAGCAGGGTTGTTTTAAATGAAAATGAGCAATGTAATCCCTTCACGAAGGTCCCTACCGCACGGCTGTTAGTGAAGTTTAGAGGCGACCGTGACTTTGAGGACACTATTTTGCCATTTGTGATCACATGATCCTGATGTGCATGTAAAACGTTTTGAAGCAAATGCCACAAAGAGAGCAGTGTGAATCAAACAAGACAAAGATTCAACATATGATGCTAGGTCTTGTTGGCTACAACATTAATATCTATAAACGAATTTTGAAGTGTCAGTGCCATTTAGTACAGCCTGTACTTGGACATATGAGACAGTAATGCACTCCAGACTTCAGACTTCATTTCAAGTGCTCTGCACTTCTGAGTAGATAGGGAACTATGATCCTCACTTTTAAAATGCATTCACTGTAAGTGTGCCTAAGTGATTACTTATGATAACTGTGGCACTATTAATATTATTCACCAAAAAATATTTTGGCATTTAATAGCGATCAAAATGTTAGTGTCTAAAGTTAGAGCACCTGAACTAGCCAAACATAATATATTCCAGTCACTAGAGATCGCTATACTTGGTAAGGGCTCCCTGGCGAATTGTAGGAGCAAAGAAAAAGACTATAAAACCTTAATAAAATTTCATACAGGCATAAGAAGTTCATAAAAACCAATACGCCCAGTTTACCCTCAAGAAAGGCTCTGGGAATACATGTCTATTATTTCTCATCTGTTGTGTGCACAGATCTAAAATCAACAGAAAAAGTGAGAGGTCAGAGAACAGTGTCACTCACTTTCTGGGACGGTTCTGGACAGGGGGAGGTTGCACGGGCTGGGTCGGGGCAGGACGTTTTCGGTTGGGGTCGAGGGCTGGGTTAGGCATCCCTGGTCGAATGGGCGGTGTTCCTCCATATGGAGGTCCAGGAGGCCCCATGGGAGCTCCTTGATGGGGCATCCGTGCCCCTGAGGTCATCCCTGGACGCTGTGGGGGTGAAAAAAAAAAAAAAAAAAAGTAGAGTAAAGGTCAGGTACCAAAACATTTCTTTGTTGAACTCACTTGACGTGTTATAGGAAGTTTACCCCAAATATCTTTGACACACAATACATATGAAGATACACGTGCATTTATTCACAATTAAAGCAAGTTCAGATAATACACAAAGACCCTTTTACGCTTAGGCACTACAGGGTGCTGTAATGAACTCCTCCTCCAGTACCCGAAGCTGAATTAGGCCAGGGCCTCTCGCACCTGTGCCTGTCATTTCTGAAACGACAGCTGCTCGCTCTCTACCGAAACACAGAGGTGCTGGGAAAGTCAGTCAAACGCAGTCTTAAGGGCAACTGTGCAAAGTGTGATGTCAAATATCTTCTCATTTCATTTAGACCACATACATTGTCCTTTCTGCCATTAGACAATAAATGGAGGGGATTTCTTTTTTCTATTTTTCCAATATAAACCTAGACTGATTTGTATTGGGAAAAGTGCTATATAAATAAATCTGAAGGGAATTGAATAGAAATCACAATAATGTAAATTTTACAATAAGAATCAATGCGTTAACAGTAGTTAATGCAATAGCTAAAATTAAATATGCATATAATTAATAGTTTTACAGTATATTATTCTAGGTTATTGTTCATTTATGCATGCACATATCGGCAACGTTTTTGTTTCACAAATCTGAATAAATTATTAATTAATAATTAACTAATTTAATTTAATTAAATGTAAATTTATCATCATCATCAAATCATCATCATAACATATATACTTAGACTATATTAACATAGAAACAACAGTATATTTAAAAAAAATGAACAAATTAATAAATGCTGTAAAATGTTGTTCATTGTTAGTTCATAACACCTAATGAATCAATTAATGTTAAAAAAGATTTTTAACCTCATTGTGAAGTGTTACCCGACTGAAAAGAGCAATTTTATCGTTTTTGTCCTGTTATTATTTATCAGTTCAGTTTGTGTGCTGCATTTGAGGTCTGTTGTTCATAACTCATAATGGCAGAGTTGCAAAGTGCCTGTGACTCTGGACGTGCACCAAAGTTGTGGAAACATCCAGAATGTGAGCCAACGTCCCCAGCTCCAGTCCTCCCTATAGTGCGGGTAAAGTACATCCCTGATGGAGATGATCCCGTATGGTGTGGTGACCCTCATGACCCGATCATTGCTTTCAAAGTAGGCCAAGCTCCAGGGGTGTCCAGGCCTGGTCCAATCTCAGAACATCTGAGTGAAGAGGCAGTGGGATGTGAACATGTGGACGCAGCGGGAACCAGTGCAGGTCTCTGCCAATCCCTAGCTCTCAAGGTCGCAATGGAGGTGTTCAGGGCACAGGAGGAGACTATTCACAGAGGATAAGTTACAGAAGAACACTTTCTGGACTTAATAACCATGTTAATCTTTACTAAAAGGGAAAAAAATATCAATGGGTTTGTAGTGGTGCAACCTGTTAAGTAATGAAAAGGTATTTAACTCAAAAACTGATAAACTACAAAATGAATAAAAAAAATACATAAATACATAAAATAAAAAAATCAGTCAGCTAGCATTCATAGGCCAAGTGATCTTTATTTATAAACCATGCAAAAAGCCTGCATTCAACCCCAATCCATCCATTGTGCTTTCAAATTCATAAATAGCCTTTTCTGGAATAAAATTAATAATACCGGAACACACTACTACTAATAGAGGGTTATTATGTCTTGAAGGTTGTTTTAGCAACAAGCCTCTAGAAATAATACCTTGTATTTGGTCTGAAATCAAATAGCACTTGAATGCAGCTTCAAAATAGTTGCATCACCACCAAAAGTCCTCAAAAGTCTCCATAACCTTTCATTCTGCCACATTTGTAACTAGTAAACAACCTGAAACACATACATCAAGTTTGCTTCCACTACATGTTCAGGACTAAATAAAATAACACAGCAGGATTTTTGTGTGTGATCTAGCCTCAGGGTGTTCATGATACACACCCTCCTGCACACACACCAAAAGAGCATCCTTTATTTCATTCTGGTACTTGTCCCTCAAAATACAAGTAACTCTCATACTTCCAGCACTGGCGCTTCTCTTTCCTTGTGTATCCTCCTCCACTTGTTAAACACAATAACCTTACACCCTTTCTCCTACACTCTGTCCTCCTCAGCTGTTCCCGTTTTTTTTTTTTTTTTTATCTGGATAAAAATGAGCGGTAACAACGGCTGCATCTTAGTTCTCCCGTGAGCAGAGCCACAGAGCTATTGACACGCTTCCACATGCACAAACACGCTCGCTCACTCACTCACCACTCCATGGACGAGAAACTCAAACAGTTTACTCTTGGTGGCTTTACGAGCTCCTCCGGCAGAATCCTCCATGTCCATTTACAAAATCCCCAGTCCCTCTTTTGTTTCCTCTATTCTTGGGTACCTCTGCCACTGTGCGCTTCCCTCACTTTTCCTCTCCTCCAAAAGAGAGTGCTCCCTCCCTCCTTCTCCTCACTCTGACGTTCCCTTTCTCCACTCTCTCTCTTTTTAAAGCATGTCAGCGTGTGGCCAGAGTCTCTCTCTCTCTCTCTCTCTCTCTGTTTTAGTGTAGCTTCCCTCACAGACTCTGGGTTGGGAAGGATGGGGGTCTGTGAAGGGGGCTGTCGCTGGACCACCAATGTGTTGGGGAATGCCGCTGAAAATAGCACAATACAAGCAGGACTACCTAAACACAGCCACTGTGCTGTTCCAATGGACAGTTATGTGGCGGTAAATTAGTACCTGTGTGATCTCAAAGCTGGCTATTAAGTCCGAGAATTACATCAGTCTGAATGACTAACCTTAGGGAATTTCTGAAAGAGTGTTTTTACTAGCAGAGTTTTGAAGAATTGTCTGTGAACTGCCGTAATGGGACTACTTAGATTTTGTCTATAAGTAAGCGATTAAAGGGATAGTTCACCCAAAAAAATGTATTCTGTCATCTTTTACATGTCGTTCCAAATCTGTATGGTGTTCTATCTTCTGTGGAACACAAAATATATTTAGAAAAACATGAGGTCCAAACAACATTGGTCCGCAATTAATTTTTCATTGTATGGACTAGGGGTGGGCGATATCTCGATATTTAAAATATATCGAGATATTTTTTAAACACGATATGGATTTTGACATATCGTATATATCGATATATTGTTTATATTTAATCCTGATTTCGCCACTTTGCTTGTTTGCCTTCTCTGTGCTGTGCTCGCCCCCGCCTCCTTGCTTTTGTTCCCCCTCACCTCGCGTGTTGTCTCATTCAACAATTGTCTCATCCGCAACCAGCCCGGAGGCTACAGACAGTGCCGCTGCTAGCCATTTTGGTGCCCTAAGCATAATTCCTTTATGATGCCCCCCCGCCCCCCCCTAAAAAAAAAAAAAACATTTTAATTTAGGATTTTCATTTAGGGGGGCTAAGCCCCCAATGAGGGTATGATTTATAAAAAAAATGCAAAAATTAAAAAGTAACACTTTAGTTTAGGGTCTAATGCTTACTATTAACTAGTTTCATTACCATGCAATGGCATGGTTTTATAATCACTGGGGTTCCGAATTTGAGGCAGGTTAGTTAGGGGTGTTCGGGGGAAATTTTGGATTTTTCTGAACTACAGATGTGCATTTTAAGATGTTGTGAAGGCAAAAAAAAAAATAAAAAAAATATATCGATAACAACAGCTTTAAAACCATGTCAGTGGGCAGCTGATTATTTTTCTCTCCTCATCAGCATCACACTCTTTTTCTCTTTGTTTTTATCTTGCCCTGTCTCTTCCCCTCCTAAAGTTGGCTTTTTTAATTTTCTAAAGGTTACAATTTGTATTTTATTCTCAATATGTACACATTCATTATTAATCCTGTGGCTAACATGATGAAAAGGCTTTGTTCATGTTTCTTGTCCCCTCACAATGACAATAGCCTAAACTATTACACTAGGCTACATGTTACATAGGCCTATTTTCAGTTCAAAATAGCGAAATTAGACAAAACTATATTAGTTTGCCTAATTATTTTTTGTCATTCGTTTAACATTTATGACCTAAAAAAAACTGTCAAATAAAGTTAAGTTTAGCTACTTACATCTTATCTCGCACTTGACCGTACACTGAAGCGTCGAGTTGCACTGTTAAAATTCGCGCTCAGCGTCTGTGAACATAAAGCCCGCCTACTTTGATTTGATTGGTCATCTCAAATATTCTGACATTGACGAGCAGTGACAGACCAATGAGGCTCAGATGAACAAACACATGACACACACACACACACACACCCTGTCCTGTGTTTCTGACGTGCTCTCTGTCTCTGCTCGGCGCCGCTGCGGAATGAAGAGGAAGAACGCGCTGAATCTGATTATAACAAGAAGTTTGATGATTGGTTTTTCATTAGGCTATTTTTGGTGCCCCCTCAGCACTTGGTGCCCTACGCACAGCGCGTGATGCGCGTGGTGGGAGCGGCGGCGCTGGCTACAGAACTCCGAGTGTGTCTGCGCGCGAGCGACAGAGCACGAGAGAAACCGAGTGTGAGCATTAATTGCATTAGTAAATTGGTAGCCTACATACTACAATATATAATTACTATATAAGAGGCATGGAAGTTCGATTAATGGACTCCAGTAATCAGAAGGCTACTACAAACGTCTTGTTTTAAACTATTGCAGGGCTCGAATTTCGGCGCGGGTATTGCGCATAATTCTAATCATTCCCGCAGGTCTCCCATTTATAATGCGGGAAATTCCCGCAATCGTAATCCACACAGATTATAAAATCAAATCATTCTTTTAACAACTATCTGCCAGACGCAATTTCACAAACAGCGTGAGTGTTCAGCGGTGCCGCTTCTTTCTCGTCTCTCATAATGTGTTGTGCAAGGCAAGCATCAAGAGCTGCGGCGATAAAACACACTCGCGTTTAGGAGTCGGGACATGATGGATATTCACTCGCACAATCGGGCCAGCAGTGCATCGTGACTGAAGTTTACCATTTGCACGTCTTTTTAAGTCTTACCAGTTTAAACATTCAAGCGATTTTAAACTAATCAGTGCTCGCGCGCTCTCTGAGAGATTATTTTCTATGCGCACATTCATAGAAAATCCGCCTTAAGAACAGCTGGCCAGTAACAGAAGTTATTTTTCGCGGATTATATTGCTTTAACACGCAAAATTGTCAATTTCGGTCGTCGTGAGTATACTCTAAACATAGTCGGTTTTGTCTTTAATAAGCATAAAACGCATGCCAGTATAATGAACACAGGATCCGTGCACTACCTCTTAAAGTACCGGCAGCCATATGTGTGTCATTCATTTTGTTGTCAATACAACAAAAGATAGCTTTAAGTTAAAGGAATCAGGATTAATAACCTATGTATTTAATTTATTCAGGACTAAAATTCTACTCAGTGTTATTTTCCATTTGATTACTTTATTCAGTTTCTGTATAGGAATCACGTGATAATGATGACGAAATTCAGGCCCTGTGTTTAATTTTTCTCATTTGGTTACATTCTGTTATGGAAAATTAATTTTCTATTGATTATAGGCTTATATTTTGAGTTGTATTCACATCCATTTTCCTGTAAAGATATCGAGATATATATCGAATATCGAGATATAGCAAAATATATCGAGATATATTTTTTGCTCCATATCGCCCAGCCCTAGTATGGACACAAAAAAATGCTGAGACATATAGGCTGAGTAAATAATGACAGAAATTTCATTTTTGCATGAACTTTCCCTTTAACCCAAGCACATCTCAAGAGGCTGTTGGATTTAAATACGCTGCTAAATCTTTCAGATGGTCCAAACAAACATTAAAAGGATGAGATATTATTGCATGAATACAATGTTTGTCAACTAATATATTACATTTTTTTGTAGGTTTGGGGACAATTTGTTCAACCAAAAAAAAAAAAAAAGTTAGTAAATCACAATCATCGAAATTCAAGATTAAAGGATTTCTCAGAGATTAAAATGTTTTAATTTACAAATAATAATAATAAAGATTTTTTTAATACCACTGTCACTGTGGAAGAGACTGTGATATAAACATCCAAATATGTAAATTATTCATTATAATACCTAAATATGTAAAATTGTCATAATTAACATTGTACTGATTTGCACAAAGTTTTGCACTGTTTGCACCAACTAAGCACTATTACAAAATATATTACAAAAACTATTGCAAATACTATATAGAAGAGAAAGAAAAATATCTTCATGTAGTAGAAGACCCCCTTTAAGGACCCCCATAAAGGCTAATACAGAAGAGTGGCAAATGCAATGCCCCATTCAATCAGAGTGAAAGGGGTGCTGCAGAGGGAAAACCCAGGTTTTGGGAAGATGTGAGCTCAGTTGTCCAAGTGCACACAGAAAATGTGCTTCAAAGCTCAATCATTCTCCTATTAATGAACTTATTTTCAGTATGGTTAGATCTAGCCTACATGTTTTCTAGTCATATGGTCTCTTTATGAGAAAGGCACACTGAATAGCTCAGTAGGCTACTTGCGCTAAAGGAGTAAATGTAATGTGGTATTGCTGAGGGACAGGCCACTGGAATTACAAACTTCAGTATTGCAAACAACACTGTCTGGAAGCACAGACACAATGCAATGCAGATGTTGTGCTAAACAAGGACGTTCATCAGCAGTGTATACAAGTTACATGATGATACATCAGTATCAAAGCAGCTGGAAGAAGTTGAGAGACTATTGTTGATCATAACCAGATATGGTATTTCTAAGCCATTCAAAACTGTGCAGTCATATGGATGCAAAAAAATATAATGCCTTCCATAACAACTGCATAACAAGAGCAATAGTTCAATAGACAGGTGTCAATTAAGCGCGCAGAACTGTTTATAGTCAAATAAAATGGTCAATTATTATCAATGCATAAAAATAGCAAAATTAGAATAGTATAGACGTCTGAATAGGACTCTCGTTCCAAGAAATAATGAATGTTGAAAACGCATCTGAGATTGAAGCGGATAATGACGCTGTGAGCGATGGCGTTGCATTCCTACCTTTCTTTCCATTGCTGCAAGTTTGATGCTCTCAGTTCAGCTGAAGAGGTGAAACCTGTGAATTACACGCGGTCGATGTCCGGCAACTTCTTCGTTGTTCCAGACAGATTTTCGGCTACTCCCCCCTCCTCTGGGACAGAGCGCTGGATGGAGGGATGCAGGCGAAGAAGGCCCCTTGTCTGTGATTTCAGTCGGGCTCTGGCGGCGGTGAGTGCGGCAGACGCAGCAGCGCAGGCGCGGGGATCGTCCAACACAAGCGATTCAATGAAGGTTTAAGGGAACGTCGTCAAACTAACTTACAGGGAAATGGAAGCAATCTGTACATTTCGGCCAGATAACTATAAATGTACATTATCGTATTAAGAAAAAAGGAAATTTTCTGTACTCACCACCGAGATTAACTAAAATGCAGAGTGCAACAAAAGAGATATTTCCTGTGTAAATACTACAAGGTTTTTAGTGAGACTCAAATGTGAGGGCCAAATAAAGCTCAGGGAGAACCGATGCCTACTTACCTAAACATTAATGTACCAAATTAACATTAGCCCATTTTAAACTTACATATATTTATTTACATTGCTCACTCACACATAGGCCTATATGAACATAGTGGCCCTGAAAGCTATTTGGATACTTAAAACCCCCTTGATTCACAAATAATATCGAAATATATATTTTTTTGTATGTAACAAAACGTCATACCAAGTGGCATTTATTTCTAAGAAAATAAGCACAAGCACATTATTTATATGAATATATATATATATATACTGTGTGTATATATATATATATATACACTGTATATATATATATATATATACTGTGTGTGTACATATATATATATATACACTGTATATATATATATATATATATATGTTCAAAATGAAGACAAAAGCTATTGTGGTAGTTTTCACTTTTGGCACATTTTCTTGTCAAACTTTGAATCATGTCAATGTAAATGCAATTAACTACACCTGTACTTACTCTGCCAGGACCTCATTGCGAACTTGAGGGGACGTAACTTGAAACATCCTAACATTGAAACCAAACATTGACACCAGTCAGTTAAAAGTAGTTGGACAGATGGGTCAGAAAAAGTGAATCTAGTTCTGAGAAAAAACTGATCATTTGTTTGCAGATGCCATTTGGTGTTATATTACATTTTTTATTTAATGACATTCAGACATTTTCTTTAGTGTCCAGAAGTATCTACATTTTGGGGGCTATAGTATACACTAACATCTGCACCATTTTGGACAAAACGGACAAATCATTCTCATAATAATTATATGAGCAGCGATAAAGCATTTCAGAAATGACAAGTCACCAGTAAATAAAAGAATGATTTAATAGATTATATCTCCATTTCAAAAGCCTTATTGTACACAAATTATTTGAATTGTTCCAACATACAAGAGCAGCTCTACTGACCTGCTTTACTACAGTTTGAGTCCGGCAGACAGGCAGAAGAGCCTCAGCTTGAAACTCGAACACCATCATTTCATACACCCTCTTACAAGCAAGCCCCAGTGTCACACTGGCAGCATGCATGTGAAAAAAAAAAGGAAAAGAAAAGAAAAAGAGGACAGGCACAATAAACATCTCTAGTTTTCTTTAAAAATACAATCAAATATATAGCATATTCCTATCTGTGACAAGCATAAACTTGGTGCAGATGAAAAATGGCAAAAGTGATGAACAAAAAATAAAACAAACGAAAACCACAATAACAAAAGAAGAGACGACCTCAGAGATGTTTCTCTGAAATCACAGCCTTCAGCAAAACTGAGAAGTCCAGAAATCCCAGAAGACATTTCCACTGGCACTGGTAAGTGAGCAAGTGCAAAGAATGAGTATCTGTATGTGCGCAAACACGTATATGCTGAATATAACTGGACAGAAACAGCCACATCAACGGCGGTATACCCCAAACGCAACAAAACTAAAGAAGATGGTGATGCCCACGAGTGAGGCGGTGGCAGGTGCAGTGAAGAACTGCCGGTACTGGATCTGGAAGTACCAGAGCACAGACAGCATAAGCACGAACAGAGGCACCATGAGGCTCCCCACGTTGAGAGCCACATGCACCTGGTCAGCAGCCCGTGCCCCGGCAGGCAGGGCCCGTGTAGCATGTTGCGAGATGTGGCAGTGCAGAACACTGTTGTCAGCCAGGTTGAGAGAGGCCAGCGTCTGGGCATCGTCCTGAAGGAGCTGGCCCTGGTAAATCAGGCGTACCTGGTGCTCCTGTCCAGCAAAGTAAGTCCTGAAAATGCAATCAAACAGAAGTTTATATACACACAAATACAAACACCTACACATACTGGTCTGCTTGAATCTGTACTCACAAGAATGCTGCTTGACTTAAGAATATTAATAATTATTGTATAACCACACACAGAAACTGGTTTAAGCAGACTGCCTCACAATACTGTATGAAGGTGGGAAAAAAAAGTCAGAAATATTGGCTACACCTAACAATAATCAATATAATCATAATTATACCATATATGAGTGTAAATGAAAAGTAGACTGAGACCCTATTAACTTTTTAAAAGTTTTTGGAAAAAAAAAAGCTGCCAACCAGCGCCAGCATTTTTGATCATTTTCACAAAAAGTTTCATAGCCCCCAGAATATTTTGTTGTATAAATATCTGAACATGCAATATATCAAAAGAAAGAACAAACTCTCTGCTTTAAAAAACAACAAAAAAAGATGTTTTATTCTAGCTTCATATATTTCTTTATCAATACTTAATAAAAAAGCATAATTTTGAGCAAAAAGCTGAGAAAATCATGTTTTTGTCAAAAACTACATCTGGATCGGATTCATAATGATGATCAAAACATAGATGGAGTAGATCGAGTCCATCAACAACCCTCAAGGCTTCACAGTCCTAGAGCTCATCCTGGGTCAACATTTCATTCAGTAACATTAGGCAGTTTTGATTCGTATGCCGTTTAATATCGATGATCGCATTAATTACATATGCATCTGCTTACATTTGCAATCGCTTGTTTCTGCTTCTTCTTTGCCTCTGTTTTTATCAGGAGATTCAGTACTCTTACAGAAAATGCCTAATAGTGCCCCCTACCATATAACAGAGAAAACACGGAAAGCCGGAAAATTCCATCAATGGCGGGGAAAGAATTAAAAAAGGGAACAAAACAAATTTCAAGTACAGGTACATTGTGAATGCATATAGAACTGGGCTGTTTTTTGATTCTATGAAGAATTCAGAAACCCTTGTTATTAGAGACTGGTGGATGTTAAGTGAACTGCAGCCAACAAGTCATTGCTTGTGCTCGCACTTGAGCACAAGTAACGTACAAGTGCCTTGATATACTTGCGCCAATTTTTTGTTTTGTTCTTTGCTTAGAAGCAACAAGAAGCTGGAAATACCTTTGCAGCTATTTGCTATTAGTAAACATCCAGACACCACCCACACTACTAAGAGTGACGTTTACATGAATATGTAAATATGCGCAGCGCGCGCTTTCCTCTCAATAACAAAATAAACAACAGAAATGACAGCGGTGAGAAAACAGCAGTAAATAAAGCATCTGATCATAGCGTCATGGATATGTTTGCACAAGCTCTGCATTTCACCAGCATTGTTGACATAAAATGTCATTAGAATTACACTGTTATGATAGTTTGATTATAAAGTATAGGCCTATTTGAGACTATTGACTATATCTGGCTTTGTGACTATAGTTTGAATTAGGGCTGCACGATTAATTGCAATTTACATGTAATCACACTTAAACCGATTTGGCTTATCGCGATTATGAAATTGCAAAGGCTGCGATTCTATTTTATGCGCAGCTTGTCATTGAAGTACGGCTCTGTAAACACTGAGTTTGACTCACTTATAACGTGCATTTGAAAAAGCAACACGTGTCAAACATCTTTCCAAACATGAGAAGCATTTATGAACCTCTTGTCCAACCAAAGACAATATATAAAAACAAGTTTTACTCCAAACTCACTTCATAACGACAGTTGAAGTTGAGCATCCTTCTGTGAGATGATGCCCATTGGGATTTCCTGGAATGATGCACTCATACTTCTGCGGCGGGGCATATTTGGCGTGTCTGCATTAGAGCACCCTCTGGCGTTCAGATGGAGCAGCATTTACTACCGAACAGCCGTGCTGCACTGACAAGCTGCGCATAAAATAATCGCAGCCTTTGCCAAATCGCGTTTATTTGTGCAGCCCTAGTTTGAATGAATCCTTTTTCTTTGCATGACACATTGACATTCCAGTACATAATAGCTCTTTAGGCATTATCCTGAACATAAGCATTCGTTTCATGTGTCACAGAGCGGAAGAGAAGCTCTCTGGAGCACGCATAATCATCACATCCTTTTCATTTTCCCGGTAGAAACGTCC